ACTAGCGTGCTGCCATATCTCATGAATTTCAAACATTTCAATTAAAAAGTACTTGTGATCTTATTCCACCTAATTCAAATCAAAACGTTATTGATTGTAAATGGACGTTTCGCACAAAATTTCTAGATGGTGGAATTATTGCTTGGTACAAAGCTAAATTGGTTGCACAAGGATTTAATCAAAAATATGGATTATACATAAACTTTCAATCCGGTGGCTAAAATACCCATTGTTTGGATTTTTCTGGTTGTTGCCCTTCATTATGCTTAGTTTATTCATCAACTACTTTCCTCCATGGCGATCTAAATCATAAGGTTTATATGAAACAACATCCAAGATTCACTTATGCTCTTTATCCTTATCATGTGTGTCGTTTGAAAAAAGCAATATACAAACTTAAACAGTCTCCAAGCAAATGCTTTGCTATTCTTTCTGACTATCTTCAGACTCTTAGCTTTCAGATTAGCTCATCCGATACTTCATTTCTTAACTACAATACTAATTATATTTCTATATATTTTTTGTTTAAGTTAACGACATTCTTCTTACCTCTTACCGGGAACTTTACCATAGCTATAAAGAAACTTCTTGATAATCTTATATCGAAGTTTACAATGAGAGATCTCGGATCTCTCTCCATTTTTGGGCATCCAAGTGTTCCATACATCTTATGGTCTCCCCCTAAGTCAAAGTTAGTTTGCCCGAACCATTCTCTCTCACACAGGTATGCTAAATTGCAAAATGGTTTCAACCCCTCCTCAAACAAAAACTTTCATACTACCACCAGTTCAAATGCCTTTTCAAATCCTATTATATAGTGACAACTTGCTGGCTCGCTTCAATACCTCACATTAACGATACCGAATATATCTTTTGTCTTCAACAAAGTATGCCAATATATACAAAATCCATAATATCCACTTTGAAGCTCTAAAACATCTCATGAGATACATTCATGGACCTTTGCATATTAGTCTCCATCTATTTAGACTCTTACACTACATTCCCATGTGAATTCAAACTAAGCAGGAGATCATACTAACCGAAAATCTATTATCGATAACTATAATTTTCTTGGGTCCTCTTAATATTTGGAACGTTAAGAAACAGAATGACAGAATGACATAGCACCGAGCTTCATCATTTGCTACCGCTGAAATAAGCTGGATTCATCACTTGCTTCAAGAATTTAACTGCTCTCAGATTAGGGTGGATTGTCACTATATCGATGGTTGTATCAAAGACAAGGTCATCATATTTCTACTAAAGATCAACTCACTAATCTCCTAACTAAATCCCTTCCTATCTCAAGATTCCACCTCCTATCAAGAAATACACATCCATTTTTTATTAGCTAAATAATTTTTTCTAACTATGAAAAGTCAATACATAAATTTCCTTCTTTTTCTATTCCTTTGCTTTCTACTTGCTTTTGCTTTTCATGTTACAGCTCGCTTGTGAAAGCTTTATACTTTCTCCTTCAGATCGCAACTACTAGAGAGAAGATGCTGCTTGAGAACATGGCTTCGCCACCTGAGAAGATCACTTGCCTGAGATGAGAAAAAAAAAAAAGTAAATTGTTTTTATGACATTTGTATTTTTTTTTTTTAACAGCTGCATCTCCAATTATTACTAGAACAATGCCTTAACACTAATTTGTAAAATGTATCAATTTTCAAATCGAAACATTTTTAAAAGAAAAAAGATATTAAAAAAATATTAAACAAGCTAGAATTTGGGCTCAACTCGAAATTTATATCAAACTCAAGCGAAGCTCGTTATCAAATTGAACCCAAATCCTTGACTCCCACCCCTAATCAAACATCAGCAATCTGTTCCATAAAATATTGCAAACCCATTTTACCCAGCTCAAAAGAATGTTGTGGTGGGACAAACATTTATAAAAAATAAAGATTCTATCATAAAAATACAAGAGAAAGATATAGAAACTCAGCCCAACTAAAGAATAACATTTTAATTTTAATTTTTTTCAGAGTAGAAATACTCTAACTTCACTCAAGATAATTTTGATCAATCAAAACTCAAATACCTTTAGATCAATCAAAACACCATTACAAATTTCATTCAAATTAAAAATTGATATAAAAATTATATTTATATTTGACAAGTTACTATAGAAATTAGACATCAATAACTAACTTTGAAATTACTTAATGGTGCTTTAATATATAATATCATAATATTTGCTCTGAAATTGTTATGAGACTTCAATATAACATCATGCAAAGCTAATTATACATAATATTATAATGTTTGCTAACTATATGTGACCAATAGAGCTTTGTTGGTAGACGAAATTGTTTTTATACAAGCAAGACACTGATTTATGCTACTCCATTAATATATATATTCTAAAAAGTGGCCTTGGTGGAATCGAACCACCATCCTCCCAAATTTCTTAATGGCAACTGCCAACAAAATTTTGAGCGCTCTTTCCATTTAGAGCTTAAAGACCAAGCAAGTTCATCACAATTTCAATGCTAAACCAACTATTTCAATTCATGCTTCTACTAAGTAACGTGCCGGTCAATCCGTAAACCATAGTTCACCCTAGAGACGACGGGCCGTCAAGAGAGATTAACACGTAATTATCTCTCCTGAGAAGAACATAAGCATGAAACGGAGACATCTTGATTTGAAAGACAAAAATTTCAAAAATACAACTTCATGCATAACACTAAATACTCTATTTATAAATCTACCACCTAAAATTTTAATATTAAATATATGCTACCCAGAATTCACTTTAAACATGAATAGTAAGAATAAAAGGTGAATGATAAGAATAAATCATTTGGTAATACATAATATGATAGACATAAATAGAGTGGCATAAAATAGTATGTACATAAATTCCACTAAATTTTAGCAAAATTAATAGATACGCATCTTTAATAAATTATTAGTACAAATTCATTTCCAGGAACATATCACTTTAATAATAAAGACGCACGCTAAACACTTTAAATTCCTAGAGAATCTACAACCACACAAATTTTGCGAATAATTCACTGACTTTAACATCCTGACAAATGAGCATAATATATAATACAAAATTAGAATGCCTATTTACATATATATATATATATATAATGTTTAGAAAGGAATAGTTTCATGCATGCAAGCATTTAAATGTCTTCAAAACCTTGCATGATAGAATTTCCACTGAATACATTTAGATTTGAGTCCGTTGTTATGTAAGCTCCAATTTATCGTTTCGTTAAAAAAAACTGCATTTATTTAAATAAAAACGAGATAAAATGACACTTCTGCTGCAAAACATAAATAAACACTTCAATAAAATAATACCTAAAGAGAAATAAAATTTCTTTGTGATCCTGAACAATTAAGAAAAACAATAATAAACCGAAAAAAAAAACACTAAATATTTCTACCAAACTTTCAGTAAATGTCTGGGCACAAATTAAAAAGCAAGCAAAGAACAACCAATAAACGTACGTAACGTAACAGTGCAAATAAGTTAACCCCACGTTAAAAGAAAATAGATAAAACTTCACTTGGTTTCCTTGATCCTAATTGAGCTTCCGAGCAACAAGTTGATGCAATCCAAGTTCCCGCTTTCAAACGCCAAAAGCTGACCATTCATTTCGTGTTTCCGAGCTTTCGAGATTCCAAAGCTTCCAAGCCACCACAAGTTGTCCAAGCATTCAAGATTTCCGAGCTTCCGAGCCACCGCAAGTTTGGGCCAACAAGAGAAAACCCAGTTCTGAATTGTATGCTTATAAGAAAGTCACAACCTTTAAGTAACATTTACACATTCTTACAAAATAACACGGAAAAAAAGTTCAGGACTCTTCACAAAACCTCAAACGTTAAACAGTTGCAGAAATCACAATAAACATTGATCCGAAGACAGTCTCCATTCATGCGAAAAGATCAGAGTGCTAATGGGAGCAGTACAATACCCGCTGAGACAACCACACAGATCTTTCAATGCATACAGCCATCATACAAAATTTGATCAAGTAAAGAATGTTCGATTAGAATAAAAACAAGTAAAATTAGGATTCATCCATGCTTTGGCATAAGATTACCATTGTTCGGTAAAATATTGATAATAGAAAATGTAAAATCTATAAGTAGATAAACACAATGTAAATGAATCAAAACAATAATGACGTGTACATCTCTGATTGGTAGTCGTCTTGTGTACAGCAGATACTAGCTCTATATATACCCTGTAATACTTACGTTGATAATAAGATTTACTTTTAGTTTCTCCCTTATTCTCCATGATAACTGTCTCTGTTTCTTTCCTTCATTTCTACCGGATCTTGTAAATCAAGATCTCTTGCTGCTCTTCAAAAGCAGCCATTTACAACCGCATTCTTCTGTAACAGTTGCCGCTTACGCCCCAACGTCTTAAGCATCCGCTGAGCACAACTGTTTGCTAAAAAACATAAAGAACGCATACACAATAACCTGTATGATATAAATAACATCGATAGCACTCAGTAAATCTTTTACTGCAGTTTGGAGTACAAGCCGTCATTCATGCCGTACTTAATCAACAAGAACGCAGCTCATTTTTTTATTCGAAAGGGTTCTTAATAAATTTAAGTTCTGACGGAACATCACTAAATCACTAAAAAAGATAAAATTAACGAGAAGTTTGATGAAGAGCACATCTTAAAGAACTTTGCAGTTAAAATAACGAAAGTTTAAAAGATATATGTTTTAATAAAGATTTTGAAATCAAAGCATACTACTACTTTTAAATTCATCGTCGGAAAAGACATTTAAGTTCTTTCACCTAAATTGGCTCATCGAGGATATAATCTACTTGAAGCTAAATATCACGAATGAAAAAATAAGTGTTAAGCTGCACGCAAATAATTTAAGAATGTCATAGAGCAGTATTACATTAATCCACTTAAAAATCGATTAAAATCAATAATTAAAAAATAGTTGAATAAATAATACCTTTCCAGAAGTAAACTATGTCTTCGAGAATGTTATAACTGACTCGCATATACCTTTCGATTGTTATAGAGCGCTGTTATAACCTGATAAACGACCAAAATTTGAGAGTAGCAGTAAACCAAATTGCAAATCTATTCGTTGTATACCTTGCAATGTGAGTATCATGTCGTGGCATCCCCTAAATGAGCTGAAGGGAGTAGGAACATGTGAAGCAGATAAAACAGTAAAACCAAGAGACGATGCCAGGAGAACCCAGGGTGCAGAATCACCCCGTACGATCTCCCACTCCAACAGAAAAATTAATTTTATTAAAGATATTTGGCCTGCCATGCGAGCGCACCCAACATGGCAAAGGCCGGAAAGACAAACTATCAAACATCTGTAAACAATAGAACATCAATCTCCTGCCTCCATCCAAGCTTCCTTGCATCACCAACACTGAAATATAGATCAACTATCTATAATTCTCAATAATACACAAATCAAATCAGATCTGATACCATTAACCTCAATCTGGACAAAACAGAAAGGATCATCCACCAAACCACAGGATCCTCAAGTCTCGTTCACAGAATGAATCTCGTTAATAGATGTCACACGATTTTCCTGGATCTGCAAAACTCCAAGATCATCACAGCTATCGCACATAGATTCCGGCTTTTCACACCGTTTCAAAGCAATCTGCAAGGGAAAAGTAAAACCGAAAAACACAAACGTTAAAGATCATACAACACTCGTGTAAAGAACCAAGAAAGATCGCTCAATAATACTAGAAAATAGAAAGGCAGAGACCACAAACCCTAACCAAAAGAAAGAGGAGGAAGAACGCTGTTTCTGAAAGAGAAAACCATCTCATCAATTTATTAAAAGATCAACGGCTGTGATAATGCGGTTAAGTTTTACGACCACGATGAATTCACGCCAATGTTTATCCTGGTAACAGGCAGCTAATTATTAAAAAAAGGGTGTTTTCAGTACCGACTTCCACGTGGCTTAATGTTCTCCAGTTCGCCACGTGGAGAACAAACAGGGCGGGTCACTATGGTTTCAGTTTAGAACTGGTGAGATATTTCTCTTTTTTATTTTTTTTGAAAAATTCGTAAAATAATTAATTAGCTGCCTAATTAGAAGATAGTGGGGGGTTACGTTTCGTGGCTGACCGACGTTCTCAGCCGTTGAACGTGCTCATTTACGTCATTGCTTACGTCATTGATTATATATGTTTCTTTTAGAACAAGAGATAGGCTTTAGGCGAATTACGGACGTTGATGCTTTTGGAGGGTTCAGGGAAGACAAGATGCTGTTCTCTGTTTTAAAACGAACAGGCGATTTAACATTTATTAATTGTAACGGTTGGGGCGAAGTTTCGTGATTAAGGCTTGACAAAAAAACAACTCTTTTTGGTCTATTGGTTGGAAGATTTGGCTTCAAACTAAGACGTTCAGAGTTCGAGTCTATGTGTATGCGTTGTGTGTATGAGTTTGTCTTAAATGGCCTAAATGTCCCAAAAAAAAGCTTGACAAAAAGTTTCTATTTTTTGGGACAGCGCAAAATAAACAATAAGCACAAAAATATATAAAGGGCTTCGTTTTTTTTTTTTTTTTTGGGGTGGAAAAAGTTGGTATAATGACTTTTGATTGCAACAAGGGGTTATTTGGCTGTTTAAAAAAAAAAAACAGAAGCATATTTTTAGAGCCATATAAATCCTTTGTTTAGAATTTTTTCAATGGGATGCATAAGGCTTCTCTGCTTTGCGATATGATAAAACTATAAATTTTTATTATATTTTACGAAGTAATCAAATTTTATTACTTTGAAAATTCATATCATTAAATATGTTAAGCTGGGTTAGCTCATATATATGTAGCTTTTTATTTTTAGGATTAAAAAAAAAAAAGAATATAGTGTAATCATTAGATATGTCACGATTTGATCAGACAAACCCGAAACAAAAACTATGGGTTTCATTTATCACACTACCGGATCTACATCAGAAGAATTGTATGTGTCTTTCATTTTAATCATTTAACTATAGCTTAGCAATAAACAATAGAAAGAAATATGCTTGCATTTTCATTTTATTCGGAGGCTCATATCATAGGAATATTATGCTTTTCTGAAAACATGTAAAACCATATAATGAGTACATATCTTAGCAAATAATTAAAATCTTGCAACTGAAATTAATTTAAGATAAAATAGAATAATACGCTATAAATTATATAAAAAATACATGCATGAATGCTTATATTAATATTAATTTATCATTTTATAGTTTATCACATCTCAATTTATTGCATTATCAGCACAATATCAATAATAGTCAATAGAATTAACGATACTAATAAAATTATAATTAAAATTAGTATTATGATCAATAACATTAATTATATGATGTGTTCAAATTAATTGATTAATTCATTTAAACGACTATTTACATCTTATTAGAATGGATTAGTTTTTGAACTGATAGTATTGTACAAATAGTTATGGCTAACTTTTTTTTTTTTTTTTTTTTTTTTTTTTTTTTTTTTGAAGCTTATTACTTAAGCATATTTTAAGGATTCTCTTTGTAATGAAAAGATGATTGTGTGACTGCTAAAGGTACTTTTAGATAGAAGCTTTGAGAAATCCAGGGTTTGAGAGGAAGGAGAATGTGAGGTTGAACATGAGGGAGAAGAAGTGTGAAGGGATCACATGATTGCTCCGGACTAGCTACACCCTTGCTCCTCCTATGGCCTTAGTGAGTCTTTGGAAGCTCTTTACGGAGAGAGGTTTCTAGGTCAAGTTCTCGAGGTATTCTGCCTTCTTTAGGAGGGAGAAAAAGGAGCCGAGGTTCTCTGCTTTCTCCATGAGGGAGAAAAAACGAGTCAAGGTTCATTATAGTTACCAGGAGGGCGATATAGCATCCAGCACTCCACCGCACCAGGTTTGGTGAAAGTGAGTCTGTAAGGGCTTCTCTGTCTTGCTGTGGAAGCAAAAGGAGAGTCACTTTATTTTACTGCAAATTCTCATAGGGGATGACTCCGGGAAGTGGATGTAGGTCAATGTTAATCCCACTATAAAAAATTTTGATGTGTTTTTTTCCTTTTGCACTTTTATATTTCCTGCATTTTATCTCATTATAACTGTTTGGGAAAATTTGTGCTTATTTCTTAGCTCATAAATCAATTTATCATCATTGATAAATCAATATTTTTGACATATTCGTTCGCTTCCGCATGTAATTAAAATCTGGTATTTTCAATTTCTAAAAAAAGTTTCAAAAATATTATCATTGTTATTTTAAGTTAAGGAAAAAATTTTAATTACAAAATCACCCCCCTCTTGTTGAGCCTCGGGCTAGTTCCTTAAGGTCTAACAACCTTCACGAACTTCATTACCTTGAGCCGCAGTTGGAGGCGCGTGAGAGGGGGAAACAAAGAGTGTGAGGGAGCTGTGCGTGCCTTGCGCGAGTTTGGTCGTGAGGGAGAGAGTGGGTTGTTTAGGAAGTGAGCGTTTAAGTGAGTTTGAGTGTCATGTGATGGGTATTTTAGATATTTTTTTTATTTTTTATTTAAATATTTTCTTTTTTTAATTACTATTGGTAAATTAATTCTAAAAAAAATTTGATGTAGGTTATTGTTTTTGCTTCGACTTCACACTCAAATCGCCATCATCATTGTCGTCGTTCACACACGTCGATGCTGCCTCAATTCGCGCATGGAAAATTTTAAATTTTGAATTGTTAAGAACCCTAATCAATATAGGTGTCTATTTTAATTTTATTTGCTACTTTGTACGCGTTCGCTGTCCATTTTGTGAACATAGTTTATTTAACCGATTTTGATTTTCAATCAACACACGTCGGGTGAGTTACACATAGCTTTGCACTCTTTCACTTTCAAAAATCACCATGTGCAATCAACACGACCTCGACACTAGTATTAAGATCAAGAATTAATATTAAGATCAACAACTAATGATGGTGATGCAATGAGTCTATATGTAATATTCCTACTTATGTACTACTCTATCGTGATTTTGTACTACTCTTCTCTGATTATGTACTACTCCATGATGAGACCCTGTTACTCTATTATGGTACAAAACTTTTGTGTTAATTATATAACTTTTGCATGTTTTTAGATAAGGTTAAGACACCTTTAAAGTGAAGCTTAGGATAACATGCCTAATTTTTCATTTTGCACTTATTAGAAGGTTTTATTTTATATCATGACTTGTACATATATTATTTGGGGATTGTATCATGTTGTAAATCTTTAATGAATATATTTATGTTTTCCACTGTTTATATTCCTTTGTTTAATGAAATTGAAAAGGTTGATGTTTAAACGATCAAATAAATGAAATTCTTTTAAATTAGATGTTAAGATGTGACGCACGAAACTTTCAAATAAATATAAAAAGAATTACAAATATAAAAAGAAAATATATAATAAATGTTAAAATTATTAAAAACATTACAATTATTAATAACATTACATATAAAATGTTTTTAAATGTTAATTTTAAAATAATAATATAATAAATTTATATTAAAATATCATCACATTATTTTTTATTAAAACTAAATTTAATTATTTATAAAATTAACATACTCTTTCTTTATTTTTTTAAGTTTTTGCCAAAATATTAAAAATGGTCAAATTTCAATCAATATATTTTCATATTTATTGTTTTTCAAGGCATTCCAGGTAGTAAAAAAGAGAATTTATTATTTTAGCATTTATACAAAAATCTAAAACATAAAAGAGTGCAAGAATTATAAGACACTAATATTTTTATATGAATAACTAAAAAACAAAGAAAAAATCATGGAATTCGGACAAGTTATAATGATTCAACTAGCGTGTTATTGATTATAAATATTGCCCTCCCTACTAAACATACCTAGCAAACATATAATGCATAAACATATATATTACGCAATTGAATTGGAAGAGTTATATGCATAAGAACTATCAATAAGAGAAGGTCAAAGAAGAGAAGATAGGAGAAAAAAAGAATATAGCATAAAGCCTAGTGCTAACATCAGAAGTAAGAGTTGGTAACGATGACATGCATATTTTATAAATAATGGCATAGATTGACATTTTTAGCAATGTTAGATGATGCAATCAAAAAATATATTTGATACATGACCAAAAAATTTTCATGATTGGGCATTAATCTCGAGGCAAAATCAACTTGGAAACTTTTGAAATTAAAATTGGGACCATCAGAACTCCGAATTAAGCAAATTTATAGTTGAACTGAACGCCTTGAGAACACGAACCCAACGACACCAAATTCGACTCAATTTGAGCCCAAATGAGTCAAAATCAATGACCCGAAGCGTTGTTGGAAGGTTCAAACAACAAATTGGATTACCAAACGGTTTCCAAACGTGACATGCTTATAGCCGAATCGAGCGGCTTGACGAGATGAGTCCAACAAGCTCAAGATCACGGAATTCTAACATCATTAAGACCTTCAAATGTGTAGCGAACGATCCACGATCAAGGGATTCAACATCGACCGTCCATCCAAATCACTCTACATTTACCCTTAATCTTCCTTCGATTAACAGGCCATGTCACTCTGCGAAATCTATAAATAGAACCCCGCCCTTCCTCTTGAAAAGGGGTCCCAAGTAAGAGAGGAAGAGAGAGATCAGAGATCGCTCTTGCCCCTTAGCTCCTCGCTCCTCGACCACCACCCGGAGTTCCGACGGACCACCACTTAACGCTGGAGTTCCTCTGGACCACCACCTGACACCCAGAGTTCCACCGGACCACCGCATGAAGCCAGACTTGTACTGGACCACCGCATGAAGCCAGACTTGTACTGGACCACCACTTGACGCTAGACTTCCGCCGAACCACCACCTTCCGACAATTGTGTTTCTGACTATTATCTCCTGCGGTCACAATCCTTCTGACCTCTATCACCCACTACGATCCTTCCGACCTCCACTGCCGTACAACAGTATTTCTGACCATTGTCTCTTGCCGACTACAGTCTTTCCGACCTCCGTCACCTACTACACTCCTTCAAACCTCCACCACAAGAAAATGATATTTCTGACCCTTGTCTCCTGCCGACTATAGCTCTTCTGACCTCTGTCACCTATTACGATCCTTTCGACCTCCACTTACAGACCATGATCTTTCTGACCCCCGTCTTCTGCAGACTACAATCCTTTTGACCTTCGTTGCCTACTACGGTATTTTTGACCTCCATCGCCAGAGAACAGTCTTTATGACCATTGTCTGCTGCCGACTACGATCATTCCGACCTCCACCGCTAGATAGCAGTCTTTCTAACCCTTGTCTCCTGCTGACTACGGTTCTTCATACCTTTGTTTCCTACTACGGTCATTCCGACCTCCACCACCAAACAACAGTTTTTTTGACTCCTGTCTCTTGCCGACTACGATCTTTCCGACCTCCGTCGCCTACTACGGTCCTTCCGACCTCCATAACCCACTACAGTCCTTCTAACCTCCATCACCATACAACCGTCTATCTAATCATTGTCTCCTACCGGCTATGATCCTTCTGACCTCCGTCGCCTATTACGGTCCTTCAGACCTCCACGGCCAGACTACAATTTTTCTAACCCTGTCTCCTGCCGACTACGGTCCTTCTGACCTCCACCACCAGTCAATATTCTTTCTGACATATGTCTCCTACCGACTACAGTCTTTCCGACCTTTGTTGCCTACTACAGTCCTTCTGACATCTGTCGCCTACTACGATCCTTCCGACCTCCGTCGCCCGCAGGCTATGGTCATGCCGACTAAATGAACACATCAATACTGATTATTTTAATTTCTACCGTATAATACATTCAATATGATGTATATATGTTATATCAAGTCAAGGCCTTCCCTCCAATGAAGGGCCTCATTTATAATCGAGTGCAAATGATAGTGGATTCACTTAAACTGGGTCAGACCCCATGATTTTTCCCCTTTTTCAGGAGTTCTCACGTAAAAACTCTGATGTCTCTTATAAACTCTAGACCCTCTCTTATCTGATTGTGCACTGGATCTTTATACAATGCTAAGACGTTAAACTTTATGTTTCTCTACTACCGTGAATATTCCAGGACACTACAATATATAAATGGCGAGGTGATAAAGATCAAAAATATCGTAGGCAAAGAAACAATTGTGAGACGGTGGTTAAATGATCATAGTATACTTATTATGTTTGAAGGACCCTAATGGGAGAGGATGGTCAGAGAATCATAGTTGGGAAATAGGAGGTGCCTTACTTTGGTAACTTTGAAGCAATTAGTTTCTTCACATGCTATTTAGTTACCAAGAACAGCCCCTAATCTAATCAAAGCCGCTCTTAATGGATATACAAAACCATGAAAACAAATACCCAAAACCTTTTAATATGCAAGTCTTCAATCTATGCCCCAAAAAGAGAATTTTACCAAAAACAAAACCTCATAAATCATTGCAAGCTACAACACAATAATTAAACAAAATAAATAAATAATTACTCAATATCCATATTGATAAGAAAACTCTGAAACCCCGACCATAGCACTCAGCACTTGAGTTAGAAGGTAAAAGCTTCCCACAACCACTATAATGATCAGAATTGCAGTGATCGGATTCTTCAAAAGCTCAAATATTGGCTGCAGAATAGTGTATAGGGCTCCTGTACTCACTGTTATAAAGTAAAGGCCATATCGCCTGACATTATCCCAAAACTCCTCAACAAGAGGGCCCTCAGGTCCAAGCGCCATGGCGTCTTGCTGCCCATCAAACCCTAGAAGAAGAAGAGCAAAAGCAAAGGAGAACCCACCAAAAAGAAGCAATCTTCGAAGTTCAATAGATGAATCTTTTTGTAAAAACTCCATTTTTGTGATCTTCTTCTCAGGATTGGAACTGAAAAGCTTCTTAAGTGAGTGAAGATTGATTGTGGTGGTTCTTACTGATGGCTTGAGCTTCAAATATGGTGGAAGAAGCTTTAGTGTTTGAAATTGGCCGCCATGGAGGCTTGAGATGTGGAGATGAGGCCTGAGTTGGAAAGAGCAGACCTTCATTCTTCTAAGTCCCTGCTGCTTCTACTGGGTTGTGGATGTGAAGAAGAGGGCAGGATATGAAGGATTGGTGCGAATTGCCTTATCTTGTTTGTTAGGACAGCTTTTAGTTTTTACCTTAGGAATCTTTGGGGATAGTTTTGTCACAAGTTATAAAAGGGGGTTTTTTTTATTAAGATGGAGTGGATGTGTGGATAAAAGAACCTTTAAGTACTATTTAATGATTTGCTATCAGCTCCATAGGATCATATATAAATCATTTTTCATATAATTATCATATGATGTCTTTCTTACTGATTTTTAAAAGAATACTAATTTTTATATTAAAAAATTATTCCAAACATATCAAAATAAGGGTGATTATAGATCAACACTTAATTTCAAATTTTATGTAATCTTTATTTTATTAGATGAGAACTCATTCTCTTATAGTAAATTTGATCATTATGATGAGCTTGTAATTAGCAACTTCACATGGATTAGTTGGTCTAAATCCAATTGGATGTTCATTCTCTTCTCACTTAGCTTCATGCCTACTTTGGAATCAATGTTGAATCAATATAAGATTTGTTATTGATCTATAAAGGAATAAAATAAATTATTTATATCAACATTTCGTTCAACATTAATCTTATTATTGATTTTACATTGGCTTTTTAATAAATATACCTTTTTTTTTTCAATTCTTGAATGTTACAAAGGACCTTTGTTCATATAAGGCCACTTTGGGCACAACTCGCTCTACATGTATTTATGGACAAAGCTACAAGGGAGGCATTATGCGAGCTACCATACAAAAAATTATACGAGCTCTAACAAAAAAAAATGATAAGTACTATGCAGATCATAAGTCGATATCAGGATTCTGTTGGGGAAGGAAGCAAACACCGCAACGAAACAAATAAGAAAAATATCAAGGCAACATAAAGTAAAGGACATCAATATTTTATGTGAAAAATCTGAAATCGAGAAAAATCAAGGAACCATGCCACATCAAGAAATTTACTATGAAAATTGAGAGAAACAAGTACAGTTCTATCTTCTCTCTTACTCTTTCATCCCTTCTCTTCTCTCTCACACCGTTCTCTCTCTCTCTCTCTCTCTCTCTCTCTAAACACAAAAGAAAATCAAGTTAATAACACTAAGGCATGCCATCCTTCAGAAAAAAATAAGAAATAAAATTATTCATTCTGCCTCGAAGCATTGTGACGTCAGTTTGGAACGCTGTGGCGCTCCAAACCTCTGTTATCATGATGTTGTGACGCTTAAAACCGCAGCACTGCGGCATCACACTACGTTGCGGTGCTGAATCTATAGCACTGCGGCGCTTTGCTCTCTCGCATTTCTCCCAGCAAACTTTGCAGCGTCGGGGCTCTCGGGTACATAGCGCCAGTGCACTCGGGTACACAGCGTTGTGGCGTTGTGCATAACAAAAAAAATTCACAACCCCGGCAGGGTAGGAACCCCAACGAGCTTGAGAAATTGACTTGAGGTCCGAGGCAACAGTACAACCCAATTGATCAAAACAATCACAATCCATACATAACTAACAGTTTCTTCCGCTTTTAGTTCTTGTGGTGATTCAGAATTTGGTAGATGTGAGATTCTTCATGTCTATAATTGAAGTTCTGTTCTTAGCCTTCTGGGATTAGCTGATTCATTGTTTGGACTCATTTTACTGTTGTCCAGATTGCACAATGTTTTCAAACTCAGGCTTTTTAAAGTACCATTTAATGGTCCAGATTTCGTTAAGGATTATGGTGAATCCATTATTTCATGAAAGATATAAATTTTTTTAATTTTTTTTTGCATGCCAAAAATCAAACTCTACATCTTAGCAGACAATTGTTTCAGTAGAAAATCTTGTTCATTTAATGCTCCAATCATTTCTCCCTTCTCACGCCTGTATTCTTATGTCATCATATCATACCAAAAGAATACTGCTAATCATTGATGCAAGCTGCTTTCTAATACTGTCTGTAACAACTCAAATGAGGCAAGAAAATACACATATATGATGAATTTCTTCTACAAGTTATCTGGTCATGCCATGGGAATGAATAGTTGCTTATAAATTCTACAACCAACTACAATCTCAGCCATTGATCACCATCGATATAGTATTGATCTAAGAATGGCTTCGCTTCTTCATAAGTAAGTGATCTTGCCCATGGCACTCTATTGCTCATATCTGCACCTCTTCCACTGCAGTTGAACTGTCCGAACCATACCGTTCTGCAAAGTCAAACCAACTTCAGTTTCTCACAGATTTTTAAAAGTATTAAATTATCATTACAGTTACACTGTCAGAAAGATGAAATTGTGAGAAAATTGTCTTACTTTTGCCTTGATGCGTCTCCCCAGTCATTCCAGCCCTGAGGTAAAATGATTCCGTCAAGCTGACAGTAAGAATATATAACTCTAGCATATTTACCCCAAGCTCTCCCCAGGTAAATCATTCCAGTGCCAGATAGCTTGCAAGAATTCAGAGAAAATCCTGAATTCTCAGAAGCTGAATTCCTCTGTGAAGCAGTGATCGCACCATAGCTTGCAGCAACAGCATGAAGAGTGCATTCCTTATAAAGTGATCTTGCATTTCCAAATATGAAGTCAATAGATCCTTGTATATAACATTCATAGAAATAATGCCTTCCAAATTGATCAAATAGAGTGTCTTGAGAACTTAGGATTTTGCATCTATATATCAAGGCTTTGTCTCCTGCAAGCCTCAGTGCTACTGCTTGCATTCCTGAAGCTCCTGATTGTGCAGCTGGAGATGTATTCTGCAGTTCAATACGAGCTATATATATCATTTATAACTGTAAAGGAAAGTAATGGTAAATTATGCATTGTAAGCACTCTTTATGTACCTCAAATGTTATTCCATTGGCACAAAAGTAATCAGATTCTATTGCCACTGATGCAGAAGCTAAGGTGCCAATAGCCCGACCATCGGAATCTCGGTCGGATGCTCGAAGATCCCATGATATCACAGTTTCACCATTTTTATTGCCAATGAAGGATATATACGGCTTTGTGATTGGAACATACACTTGCTCTCTGTTAAAAAAAAGTTGGCGAGTCATAAGTTGTTGAGGCTAAATTGAGATTTAGGTTTCGTTTGGGACGGCTTTCTTAATGTTTCTTAAAGCAGCTTTTTAGCACAAAAATTTTAATTTTTATACTAAAAAACTGCTTTAAGGCTTCGTTTGGGACGGCTTTCTTAATGCTTCTTAAAGCATCTTTCTAGTACAAAAAATTACTTTAAGAAGCAATAAGAAAGTCATCCCAAATGAAGCCTTAGTAGTTGTGAGTTGATCTTCACAGTAAGATTGCCCCCAAGCATTGATAGCAGGGCAGATCCTCTGAAAATGGACCAATATTTATTTTAAAATTGTTATTACATAGTTCATCAATCATGAGTTTTCTCTCGATAAAGAGAGAGGAGCCATGTTATATATCTCTTAAGAAATTATGTTGTGATTCTTCATAATAGATCATAATCAAATTTGCAGCGTTAGCAGTATAAGTGACTGTATAAAATAATTTTGTATTCTATGCAATCATCTACTGTTCTATGTTCTGATTTGTCTCCTTCAATATTTTCATAGGTTCTGACTATATCGCTAATAACTTCATATTCAAAAGGCAGTGGTGGAAAAATAAAAGTTACAATTGAAAACTGGGGAGGAAACAAGCACAAAAACAGTTTCTTCCCATCAGTAAAACACTGACCTGTAAACACCTGAGGCTATATAAATCTTTACTCTCTCCTTATTTCCATCAGGAACCATATCTACTGCTCCTTGGACAGTCTTCGAATCCCCAGAACCGTCCTTTGACACCAAGATAACTCTTTTTCCTTCCTCATCTTTGATATTTGAATCTCTGTAGTGCTCGTCAATTCTTAAATCACTCCATGAAATTATGCTCTGTAAGCTCTGCAAGCTCTCTAAGCCATGGCAGAAGACAATCTCAGCTCCTGAAAACACTAAGGAAATCACCAAAAGTAGTCGTAAAACACCCAATGCCATGGCTTCCTTTCTCCTTTTCTTGCCTAATTTGTTTCTCACATTCTTGTATTGTGGACTTTAAGAGATTGTGAAAATGGGAAAGATATGATTGTATTAAATAAAGGAGCGTGGCTCTTACTCTTTTGCTGGGGGAATTCTACTTACACAAAATAGTAACGGTTAGAGAAGTTGGAAAGGGGAAGGGGAGATTTATAAAGAAGGAAAGGTCAGTCATGAGATGTTCACCAAATGACTAAAAAAGTTCGAAAAATTAAAAAGTGAATATTGTTGGTTAGATTCTTAATTTTCATAGAGTGGAGTGGCTAAACCAACTTACAAAAAATAATGATAATAAAAGAAAAAGTTTCAGGTGGTCAATGGGAATTTAACAGAGGTCAATGGTGACCTGCAACTGTAATTTGGTCAAATAAAACTTCAACTTCCATGGCCACGATCCAGTTGTGCTGGAAATTTATACCAAGAGTGTGGAATTAAGTCGTGTAACTGTAGAAAAAAATAATAATTTGTTCGAATACAACAAATTTTTCTGTCCATAGTCGAAGGTAAAAGAAACAGCAATTGACATGATATGTGTTTTTATAAGAGCTGTGTTGGGTTGCAGATGCTAGAAGTCGAGAGTAAATCAAATATAGAGATTTTGAAATTTTAGGTTTGGTTGCCCTCTAAGTTCAGTATGATGTACTATGAATTCCCCATGGAAAAAACCACAATATTTGGCCCAATTGTAAAATTCATTATATAATAAATGATAAAAGAATCATCATTTTTTCATTGTTGAATAAGATGAGGATTAAAGAGACGTCTGATTTTTTCTGAGGGGGGTTACAAAAAATTAAGTATCCACAGAGGGATAGTTAACATGCAACAATATGATTTGATTTTTTCAATATGGAGTATAAAAATTAAGTGTCTTGAGGTGGACCGCTATACCCAACAAATATGGTTAAATTTTGTTAGAATTATGGGGATGGTGGCGATAACTAACAGTGATCGTTACGGGTCATGCATGGTGGTTGTGGTGGCAATAGCTGGTGGTGATTGTTAGCAGTGATACAAGAAAGCTCTCAAGTTCTTTTCTTTCTCTTTTCTTTTTTGTTTTTTTGCGCTCATGTGAAGAATGAGGCTCTATTTATAGTTTTTTTAGTATGGACATTTTTGTAATTTGAACCATAATCCAAAACACTCTATGGTGCGGTCCATATCGTAATTTTATAATAGTCTGATCAAACAATGGCCTACATTCACTCCCTGGAGTTCTACTCTCTGATTATTGCACTAAACTTTGTGTTTATGTTTTAGCCCCCATAGCTAGGCAGAGAAGTCCTTAGAATCTCTTCACCCTCCTGGTGACGGTAGAGGACCTTGATCTCCTTTGTCACCCTCCTAGTGATGACAGAGAACTGTGACCTCCTATCTCACCCTTCTGGTGATCGATGGCATAGAACTTGAACCTCCTTTTTCATTTTCCTGTTGAAGACATAGAACCTTAACGGTCTTTGAGCTGAAGAACTTCTTCTAAGAGCCACCCAAGAAACTTAGACAAACACCTGGAGGAAACAAGGAAAGACACTTGCTCGGAGCAACCATGCAAACCCCTCACACGCAAGCTCTCCCTTTCCTCTTCCCAAAGATCTCCTAGATCCCTTCTCCAAGCTCTCTCTCTCTCTCTCTCTGGAACACCCATCAACCAAAGACACGAAACCAGTTAAATAAGAATGATTAAATGCAAGGCTTTATAAAAGCCCTAAAATTCAAATTTGTCGACATTGATCATGCAATACAATCCAAGATCGTACGGTACGATTAGTTTAAATAACCATATTAGTATTGTACAAACGGTAAGGTGTTGTATGATCAGTTCAATGAATTGAGCTGCTCGTCCGATGTGATTTGAAGCATCATCCAGTACAATTAATTCAAATGACTTGGATTATTGTCCCATACGATTTGTGAAGAATAAATATCGTCCCACACAAAAATCTGGTCGTATAGTACGATTGGCTCCAATCGTCCTGTATGATATGACTGGATCAATTAATCCCAAATCATTCCTTAATTACATAATTAATTTAGTCAATATTTAATTATATCATACAATACAATACCTATTATACGGTACGATTAGTTCAAATTTTGAATTTAAAATAAAATCACCTAAATGATAATTGGCGACTAAGATATTGATTTCAATTGTTCGTCATATACATTATGTATCATACAATACGATTAGTTCAATTTACTTTAATTATCATAATTAGTTGTTCTAATGATTATCTAAATAGTTGATTGTATAATACGATTTGAAGCTTACAATACAATTAGGTTAGAAAATTGAACTTCTAATTTTCTCACTGTCTCACTCCCTTGAGTGTGTTTGTGCATAATCACCAAGTTTAACATCCACCAAAATACATGACATGACTCAAGAAAAGTAAAAAATAAATAAAAGCGAAAATACAGACTCTTCAAGATTCTTAACAATCTTGAGCTAATCAATTTGCATAATGTACGATTGACCTAAAATGTTTGTGTACAACAAAACATATATTCAATAATAACATGAACAAGAGATATCAAAATAAAGAATCCAATAATATTTGTTATCATCAAAATCACAAAACTTAGGTTCAAATTTGCAATAGAGAAGAATGCTCAGGTGGATGAGTGACTTTACTCTTAAAGACATGATACATTATGCATATATACGAGAAAAAGGTTGGAGTTGCTCCGGTGGAAGAGAAGATTAGAGAGATTCGCCTTATATGGTTTGGTCATATAAAACGGTGGCCTTTCAATGACCCGGTTAGGAGAGTAGATATATTATACTTAGCTTATACTAAGAAAGATATAATTAAATCTAAAAATGTATGGTTAGAAAAATACTAAGAATAACTTTTCTTTCTTATGTTTAAATGATAATGGATAGAAATGATTCATGTAACCGACCCTATGTAGTGGAATAAATGCTTAATGTTGTTTTTTTGTTATTTATTTATTGTTGCTCTTCTAATATGAATTTGTTTAAATTAATGCTTCGTTTGGGACACATTTCTTACTTTTTTCTCAAGTTGTTTTCTTTTAAAAAATTTTCATTATAAAAATTTTTGTACTAAAAAAATGTTTTAGAAAATAGCAAGAAAAGTGTCACAAACGAATTCTAAGTTGATGGCTAGAACATTAATTTTGAATAGAAAAGATTATTGAATTCCTAATTTTAAGATACTTTATAGCCTCTTATACTCTGACATTCTTCTTTTGGGGGATGTTTGATTTGTTGCATTTAGGGTGTAGTGTAATCCAAATTCAAGGGTTTTGATAAGTTGGGTGTTTGGTTGGTTGAGAAATAAATTCAAGATGAAAAAAAAAAACGCAGTGTATTCTATTCAAGTTCATTTTTTATATATTTGAAATTCCTTTGATTTGGATGATTACCAAAAACATTGCAAACTCAAGGTCATTGCCACCCCTTAACATCCACCTTTGCCTGCCCCTAGTCAACGTCGGCCACCATTGTTGCTACCAGTCGCAGTCACCACCTTTGCCCACCTTCGCCGACCACTTCCTCCAGCTGCCACCTCTCGCTACCGTAGGCCACCACCACCTCTTGCCACTACCGCTTCCTGCCACCACCGTCACTGCTGATGACCAACACCGCCTCCAGTCACAACCATCGGCCAAAACCTTTGGTCATCGTTGGCGCCGTCGTCGCCTACCACTTTCATCCACTAACACTGCCTCTGTCGTCACCAATGCAACCAGCCACCATCGGTCTCCGCCACCACCTCCTCCGGCCATAGTCACCACCGCTTCTAGCCATTGCTATTCACTTTATATTGCAATGAGTTTACTTCAAACCAAAAGCCGTGTATTACAGGGCGTATTTCGTGCGAAATAGAAACCCGCTCATATTTAGCGGGTTATAAATTCTCTCGATGAAATCCTTCACATCGTCGTTGATGTTCAACTTCATTGCTTCACTGGAGGTGTAAGATTGCACGAGTGGCTTCTTCGGCTCCTTTGTTCTTGTTCGACTTTGCTCCTTCGACGACGTTCCCTTTGCTTGTCAGATCGGAAGTTGCGACATTTTCATCGGAAGGACGGGAGCTCGCAAGTTCTGAAGGTAACTTTCTCCCTTTCATGATCTTCTTCAGCAAAATCCCGTCAATCCTTCGAACTACAGGATTTGGTAAGAAAATCCATATTTTTTCCTCGATGAGATATCACGCTTTCACCATCTTCTTGATGCGCACCTCAACCAATCTCTTCAGCTCCAATGGGCTCTTGGCATTCAGATTATCTGTTGACAAAGGCTCATCTGTAAGGCAAGCTAAGCTTTTTGCCATATATACTTATGATTACCATTTCTTGGAGAATCCTCAATATCTTCAAGCAGGAATCTCTCTCCTAAATGTCGGGACCATCCACCTATTTTATATGTTGTATAAACATTAGTGCTCCACAGTTTTCCTATAAACCTCATTACATTCTTATATCTTCTTGTTTATCTAAAAATTTACCTAACCTGTTCGCCGGAAACAAGACAACAACAATCTTCTTTTGCATCAACTACGAGATTCAACCCATTATGAACCACATTTTTTACATCATGATTATCCTGCTTAAACCCAAAAGTCAATCTCGTCATGCTAAAAACACCAATACAAAACTAACAAATAGAGTCATTTCATTAAACAGATAGTTTGTATGATGCATTTGAAGTAAAGGAGATCGACGTCATCGAAACAATGAACTTGTACCAAGTACAAGTCCGATTTTATTAAAAAACAAACTTGAGATTCAAAAATATAATGATTTTATTTTTTACTCGTTTTATTCATGAATTATTGCTCATTGATTTTATTTTATTTTTTTTTGCTTGAAGTTTGATGTTATAGTTACAAAGATGGTTAAAACATTGGAAAATGTTGCTGAACTATATGAGATTCAAAATTATAATGATGTGCTGAATGTGATTTATATTGTAATTAGTACAATATGTGTACTATTACAGCAGATTCACGAAAAAAAAAAAATATATGATCCTCAACAGATTATACAACGTGACACATATCTTTCTAGGTTATATAAAGGAAGTGATTCTGACTGTGTTGACATGGCACGCATGAGGTAAGCACATTTTTTAAAATTATGTGATTTAATGCGTACACGATGATTGTTATTAGACACAATAAATATTCGGATCGAGGAACAAGTTGCTATGTTATTACATACACTCGAGCATAGTGTTCGTAACCGAGTCATCCGATTTAAATTTCATCACTCTGGAGAAACTATTAGTAGGTACTTCAAAGCTGCATTACATGTTGTAGGGGAGTTACGCAATGAGTTTATCAAGCCTCCACCACCTGAAACTCCATATAAGATTAAATTAAGTAATAAGTTTATGCCATTTTTCAAGGTATAATCAATTTTTATTTAATGAAAATCTCTCTATTTATTAAAGAATCCTAAATATACTTGTGTCAAATTTAGGATTGTATTGGTGTGATAGATGGAACTCATATTAAAGCTGGGGTTCCAAAAGAGAACGAAGTCGTACTTAGAGGAAAGAAACCATTTCCAATAAAATTTTTAGCAACAGTAAATTTTGATTTGAGGTTCACATACTTGCTTGATGGTTGGGAAGGTTCTTCTCATGACACAATAGTACTTAAAAATGCTTTAGAAAGATCATATGGTTTACGTGTACCAGCATGTAAATATTATCTGGCTGATGATTACTCCACACGTAATGGTTTTATTTCTCCATATCATGTCATAAGATATCTCTTGAAGGAGTTCAGTTTTATTCAACCTACAAATTCAAATGAGTTTTTTAATCTACGGCATTCCTCATTACGCACAACTGTTGAGCATGCATTTGGTTCCTTGAAAAACCGTTTCACAATTATAAAATGTGAAACCTACTTTCCTTTACAAACTCAAGTTCATATTGTGATTGTCTGTTGCATACTGCATAATTGTATAGTTACAGAAGGTGGCGATGAATTCATTGAATCTGAGGATGAATGGGCTATAAGAAGCCACTTTAGAAGAGGAGAGCAAGCAGATGTAGATGATTCGTGAGAATGGCTAGATACAAGAGATGAAATTGCTCAATTCATGTGGACTCGCATGCAAAATGATGGATATTAGATTTGTTTATTTCCTTTTTTTTATTTACATGTAACTTACTAAGTTCTACTACTGACTCGCATGCAAAAGGTTGTTTTTATTGATTATATTGATATATGTGGTATTGCTCTACTACTCTTATATACCAAGATGAGAATCTTCTATTGATATCTTTACATAAGTCTTTCCTTTGAAATAGATTTTGGCTTACTGGGTTTGTTTAAGGTTTCTATTGTTGCTACATTCAGACCATCTATCATAGAATTCCCCAACTTTATTTTCTTTTATTTTACCAATCTTTTTAGACATTAATCATTTTATGTTATAGGTTACTTGTTCATATATTGTGGATTTATGTGTGAAAGGTTACTGCTCAAAGTTCATCTCTTGATCATTTCTAATTTTCAACAACATCTACTAGTATACATAGCCATTCATAAATTCCATCTTGTTCAGGAGTTACATGTATTTATCATATTTTCTGTAAGGGAGAATGAATTCATCACGAACAGAGATGAATTGTAATTCGAAGGCAAAGAGAAAAAAAAATTGGAGCTTAAAACCTGAGTGGATAATTGGATTGCTTCAAACTATGATGGAATATGTAAATGCAAATATGCGAAGTGCCCAAGGATTCAAAGACTCTGTGTATCAAGGTGCAACCCAGAAAATAAAAGAGAAATTTGGAATAGAGGTGACAGGTGAGCAATGCAAGAATCAAATAAGACATCAAAGAAGTGTGTGGAGTCACATTCAGGAGTTAAAATGAAAATCAGGTGTAGCTTGGGATGAAACAAAGAAAATGATAGTGATGGGTCAAGAAGAGTATGCATCACATATTCAGGTATTACTTTAAGCACATCAATTAAATTGATATGTTTGGGCTAACAACTTATTTGTTATTCCTTACAATCTTTTCCTAAGGATTCTGTTTATTTAAATATTACAATTGCAAATTATGTAGAGTTGTAAATAGTATGTGGTCTTGGACATGCAACTAGAGAGTAGGAGAAATATGAAAATTCTCAAACTCCACTTGGAACTCGACAAATACATTTAAGTGATGACGAACCCTCACAATTTACGGATGTTGGTGGAGATGGATCAATGCCTACGGAGTGGTATAATATGCAAGTTATAGAAGATTATACTAGAATAACAAAAAAACCCCTGCCTTCATCTTGTAATGGAGGTGGCGTAAAAAGGAAGTATAAGGCATCAGCTATCGATAAAAATATCCGTGAGTGTATTTGTTTAATGGCTGATAGTGTGAATGAAGTTGCTAACGCTATCAAAAGCTTAAACATCTCCAAATCAAATTCGGAATATGTATACTAAACTGATGTTTAAGTTAACAAATATTCTTGGCTTTTTAGAAGAAGTGGTTGATACGATATATGATAATTTATCAAAAAATCTCACACTTGTACCATCTTTCCTTTAAAAACCTACAGATTCGAATGCAAGATGGATGCGTAAAGAGTTAGGAAACTGATTTAAGTTGTTGAAGATTGGCATATCTATTAAAGTTGTTATAACTATAAACTGTTCATGTTATTTTGTTGTAATTATAACTACGAACAATGAGTATATTTTTATCTTTTATTTTTTAATTGTACATTTTCATTAATGTTGTTTACATGTTATGATTGAGAATCATGTTATTTATTGATTGCTAATAAAAAACAATTATTTTTATCGCTAAATTAAACAAAGAAATCGGTTTGAAAATTTAGTTTTATGCATTTTTTGTAAAAATATTACTTGAAAAATTAAAATTTTAAATTTTAAAAGAATTTAAAATTAAAATTTCTTTCTATCACAAGTATATTTTCGTCTATTGCAGCACATTGCTAAATTAATACATAGCAGAATTTGATATCTTATAAAAAAAATTATAATAATATCGTACAATAAATGAATACACTGATTTTATTTTATAGCACCAAATAATACTAATTAAGTAATTATTATAAATACACTTGTTTTAATGCCAAAATAAATTATTAAAAAAAATGATTTTACTTTACTAAAGATATACCTAACCAAACAAGGAAAACAATTCTCATGCGTTTATTTTGCAGACAACCAAACAGGCTCAAAGTATTCGGAATGCATTACATTTATTTTACATTACATTTATTTTGCATTGCATTTTTTTTTCGGCAACAAAACAATCCCTTAATGTAATCTTAAACCATTTGCTTCAAACTAAATGTACTGTATTCTTTTTTAAAGGAATCAAACGTCACATTAACAACTAATTATTCATGCTCCCAAAATGTTATGTGCATATATGTAAATTTTTTATGTTTAAGCAACATATATAAGTACATATATTTCTAGCATTTATAAAAAAAATTCTAGCAATTATAAAAAAAAAACCTCAATCATCGGAGAGAAATTAAAATCTGTGATAGTCATCAAATCTCCAAATCAGAACGGGACTCTTTTGTTTTTAGGGTTTTTCCAAGCGGATGAACGGTGAAGATCAACTAAAGCCCTTCGATCACGGAAACAGTTATCCATGATTCACGGTGCAAGGCGTAGTTGGACAGAGAAATAAACCACGACGCTGCATGCTTTCCATCTAAGGATTTTTCTCTTCGAAGAAACACAATCACTATAAATAAATCCTGTTCGTCCACCTCACCAATCCGCGGATCTTATCTGACGACTATAAATTGCCTGCGCCACCCCAGAATTAAGCCGTCAAAAAGATTCCATCGGTCCGCAGTACATCCGGTTCGAGGGCCTGAAAACTCGGTTCGAACCGGTGGTCTCCTCGCAAACCGAATGCCCAATAGAGGGAGCAGGAACGTGAGCAATCGGGAGCTTTCTCTTTCTAAGCGGAACGATTGAACGAAGAAGGACGAGATAGAAAGAGTAGAGAGAGAGAGAGAGAGAGAGAGAGAGAGAGAGCTGGAGAGGAGTCGGACGTCATAGCATTCTTCCTCAATCGCTTCTGGTAATTGTCCACGTCTTCGATTTGATTTCTGTGCTCTAGATTTAGGATTTCTATACCGGCAATAATTTATTGGTTTTAAGCAAGTCACCGTTACCTGATTGCAGGGCGCGAGATTTAGTGCAGTGATGAGTAAGGCTAATTCGTGGATGGATGACGCATGGGAAAGGGTTGTGGAGGCTGCGGTCGATGGGCAGGCGACTCGATCATCGGATATTCGGGTTCTGAATTTGGATGGTGCCGTGAAATCTCTTCATGGATGCCTACCGCCCGCCGGAATTCTTGAAAGGTTTCCAAGTTTGGAGCATCTCTCGATTGCTAATGTCGGCGTGCTCTCCCTTGAGAAGTTTCCACGGCTGCGCAAACTACAGAGGCTTAGCCTATCGGATAACCGGATCGCCGGTGGGCTCGAGAACTTGGTACAAGCAGGGCTGCATTCGCTTCGCGATCTCGATCTCTCAAACAACCGGATCCAGTACATCGAGGACCTGGCCCCGCTTGCGAAGCTCCACCTTGTTTCCCTCGATCTCTACGAATGCCCTGTCACGAGGGTTAATGATTACCGATCCAAGGTGTTCTCGATGATCGGAACTTTGAAGTACCTGGATAACCTTGACGCGAATGAGGACGAGCGGCCAGAGACTGACGATGATGATGATGATGAGGAGGAGGAGGAGGATGAGGAGGAGGAGGCGGAGGAGGAGGACTATGATTATGATGATTTTGATCCAGGTAGTGGTGAGGTTGATGGCGATGATCGGGCTGGGAAGCTTGTCAATGGCTGTGGAGACTTTTCTGATGTAGATGATGTGATTGTTGATGCCGATGAAGATGAAGAGAGTGATGCTGATGAGGAGGAGATGGAGACTTCTGGGAGGGGATCAGTAAATGGGTTTTCTCTTGGACCTGGTCGTCATTTATCTAATGGATTCCGGGTGGCTGCCGTGGGTGTGGTTTCCGTGGATGGAAATGAAAATGATGCAGATGAAGATGTGGAGGTTGAGGATGATGATGATGATCTTGGGGAAGAGATAGATGAGGAAGGGGATGATACTGATCTAGTGCACAAAGTTCTTGGTAGTGATGAGGATGATGAAGATGGTGTTGATGACGTGGAGGACAATGAAGTGGACATAGAAGAAGAGGATGATGATGATGAAGAAGATTTAGAAGATGATGATGGGGTAGATGTGGATGAATATGAGGTAGGCGTGGAGGATGAGGAAGATACAGAACCAGGTAGCTTAGCTAGGTTTGAAGAAGAGATTGATGGGCATGAACATGGAGAGGAAGATGAAAATGAAGAAATTGACTTGCATGATGAGAACGGCGAGATTGGTTGGGAGGATGAGCTGGTAGTGGATGATAGGGATATTGGGGAGGATTTTGATGATGGTGAAGATGAGGTAATTTCTCAAATTTCATCTTTTATTACTTTCATTTACTTTTTCTTTAATATTTGAAGGTATTATAGTAGTTTAAGCTATATTGTCGCTAGTAGTTCCCTTTGTATAGGATGCTCCATATTTTATATCTTATTATCTTGATTTTAACCCTTAGAAAATGTTAATCTTACTACCTTGCCATTACTACTGAGTTATGCTGTTATTTTGTTAACAATTCTAATGAGATAGAATTGAATTAATGAGGTTATAGTTCCACTTGAATTAATTGTAAAGCCATTAGTTAATACAAATTTAGATTTTAGATTTATAATTATATATAATGGTTAATTGGACTGTTACCATTTATTTCGGTTTTTTATTTTGATTTTAGTTTTAGTGTGCTTTTTTTTTTCATCCCCCTGATTCCCCTGAATCTTTGTGTGATTGTTTGTTATGTTTGCATATTGCATCAAGTGTAATTTCAAACATGTAGAATTATGAAGACTGGTGGCAATCTGGTTTGGTTCTTTTGCTACATTGGCATGTAATTCTTGTTATCTTTTTTCTGAAAAATTTTAAAAGAATTATTTCAGTGAGAAGTTATGGGATGATTAATTCTCTAGAAGGGGCTAAGTTAATATTTGCGGCGATCTAAAAATTATTTATCTATGAAACCTGTTTGAGCCTCAAAAACTTACAATCCTACACTTTTTTATGAATCTCAGCTATAAAATTCAACATTTAGTTATGCTTATTCTAATCCCTAGTTCATTAAAATGATTTTTTTCCTTAATTTTGCTGCCTCTTAACAAATAATGCACTCTTTGCATACCTTTGCGTTGATTTCCATTCTCTCTCTTTGATTGTATCTACAAATATTGTAGCATGCTGATTATTACGTATGGTTTATTGTGCTGCATCTTATGAACTAAAACAAAATTACAGTTGATCTTAATATATTTTTCTTTTGGTTATGTTTTTTTATTTTTTATTTTGGCATATGTTGATCATTATTCACTCCTACTTGTTTGCGCATAACTTAAAAGGTAATTATCTTTACATCTGATGTAGTTTTTCATAAATTATTTATGCAATTTTTGTATTTGAAGAACTTTTAATTTTATCTTACTATATTTAAACTTGTCTTAGGATGATCTTGGTGGCGATTATCTTGTTCAACCAATTGCACGACCAATTGGACCGTCCAGTCAATCTGATTTCAATGTTGACAGTGAAGAAGAGTATCTCGATCCCGTAGACGACAGCCAACAAGACAACATTATGCAACCAGCTTTGTACAACTCCAACAAGCGGAGAAGAGACGACGAAGGCGACCTAGATGACGGCGACAACTTGGAGGAGCTGAGATTGTCGAAGCGCCATTGATGATTCTCTCAGCAGCAAGCCATGTAAAAAGGGGGGTGGGTTACTCTTTGGTTCTTTCTTGATCTTGTAGTTTAGCTTGATGTAATTTAAGTGAACATGGCAAGTTCAAATGGAAAGTTTTGGAGGGAAGGCAGGAGAGTGTAGTAGCCGTTTATTCCCTCCAAAAACAAAAAAAATCAAAAGTTAGTTTGGTGCTTTGTGTTAATAAGTATATTCCCTACTGTCGACTTGACCGTTACTTTCCTTTTTTTTCAAATGTCAGTTATATTTGTACCAGCTTCCCACTTGTATATTTGCCAATAACTTGATGGGGGCAGTAAAATGGGCCGCTACCCAATGTTGAGTTGGGCCAAAGCTAAGGATTGGGCCTTCAAGGCCTCTTTTACGGGGAGGTAGCCCATGAGTTACTGCAACTTGTGGTCTTGTGTCTTGCAATTGAAAGTCTGGAACTCCATGGGCCAATCAATAAAATTAGGTCAGTTTCTAAATATTTTTTGTTAGGAGGGTGTTCTAATACACAGTATTTTGCAATTGTATAAAGCTTGAATATTAAACTCTCAATTTCTCTACCGGCGCAAATATTTTCGTGTGTAACAAAGCTAATTATTTTGTAAGATTTTATGTAAATAAGTCTCAAATTCAAAAACTACTACCTTAAACCCTAAACTGAAACATTGAAGTATCAAGTCAATATATGCTGCTTATTATTTATTATACCCTTTGATTAATTTTTAAGACTAGAAGGGCTAAGATCTCTTGCAGAGAGGTGACATTAAATTCCCATATATTATGAGATTAATAACTAAACTTTAATTTGATCAAAAAGTACAAAAAAAAATTTATTATCAAAATAAATCTTAAAATTACAATATTTATTCTAAAGATTAGTGAAATGTAATTTTAATTAATTCTTCATATCTCTTAAGGTCGTTTAATTTATTTAGCAGATTAAGGTTTCCTTTGAGAGGCTTTGTTACTATTTCTTAAAATAATTTTTTAATATCAAAAATTTAATTTTTATACTAAAAAAATTTATAAGTAGTAAAAAAACTATCCAAACCTAAAATTTCCTTTGAAATATTTTTTTTATTGCTTTTAAAAATAATTTTCTAATACAAATTAAAATTTGTGCTAAAAAATTATTTTAAAACCAGTAAGAAATCATCCCAACTCCCGAATGAAACCTAAAACCTTCTTTAGGTAGTCAACCAGGTTATCAAAATTAATCTTTGTTTCAAGAAGAAAAAACATTAGAGGGGAAAGATCAAACCAAAAGTACTTGAGACTGATCTCCATCTCATTTAAAAATGTGATAAAACGAATATACACAATTACTTTCACATTACAAAAATCCCTAATTTTTTCATAAGACGAGCCACCACAACTCCAGATTTCCCTCATAAGAAAAAAGAAAAAAAAAGCTACAAAACTGGGTCAAGAGGAACAAAAATCTAGAAAAAGGAAAGCAATAAATTAAATCAACGGAATTTACAGATTGAGAACCAAAAAGATTATGTACTTTTGCCTCTGCACTAAATCACCTAATCTTCAATCGTTTGTATTTCACCCATCATAATTCTGTTGCTAACGACATTGAAGCCCAGCAAGGTTGGACTCACCTTCTTCCCCTTCTTGCCCTTCTTCTTCCCTTTGCTTGATCCTTCTACCCCATCATCTATCTCAGCATCTAAATTCCTCGGGATTCTGGTGCTATGGCTCGCCTGCGATTGCTTCTCGTCCGTCGCCTTCGAGCTTTTTCGACTTTGGAAGGCCATTTCGATGATTTCGGATGAAAGAAATTCCTTGTAGTTTATGAACTTATCGATGAACTCATGATCATGGTCAAGCGACGTAAGGTTTTCTCTCAGAAGAACTGCCGCCTCTGCAGTTGATTGCTTTAAGCAGAACTGAAGGAAGCTTGTATCTAAACAAACACAGTAATTTTAGCTTTAGGTAGAATTGGAGGAAGCTTTTACTGTTACATAATTGTAATACTTATTGATGTATCAAAAAAATGTGAAAGAAATTATGATATAAAATTGGCAAGTAATAAAAATCATTGAAATTAATACCATTTGTGCCCGTTAGTCTGAACCACTCCTCTTCGCACCAGTTTCGGAAGTCTATGGCCTCTGCAACAAGTTAAAATTATGAATTGATACGTCATAAGGAAGAAGATGACTGATGCAGAAGCAGAACTTACCTGAATTTATCGATTCAGTATCTTTCTTCCCTTTAGAAAGAGATCGGCTAATAGAAGGTGAGGAAGTAATAGAATTCTCTACAGGTTTGCTGCTCGATACCTTCTTACTTGATCCTTCACCATAAGCACCTTTAACAGGAGTTGCTTTCACTTTCTGACTGCTTGGGTTGGCAAGTGATGGAAAATCCGACCTGATCAATGGAGTAAAGAGAGTATTGGTGAATCAATGGCAACATTAGCTACTGATTCCAGTTTCAATCACTTGAGAGTATTGGCTGTAATATCGAAAAACTGAGAGATTACACTACCTGTTTCCCTCTTTGCTTCGGTCAAGGGGCCCCCAGAAGAAATCATCTTCCATTCCCGTTTTGTGCTGTCCTAAACCAAGGGAACTCGTTTGGGTAGAAGCGGCAGTCTTGGAATTGATAGAAACCGAATTCTTAGATGGAGAAGAACCAGGAACCAGCACGGAAGAACTGTTTCCTTCACTCCCCTTACTGTTTTGGATCTTGGTCTGAGTTGGTATTGGAGTTTGCTGTTGAGATGATTTTGTTTTTTTCTCGTCTTGTTCCTTAAAAATGTCCCTTAAAAATGCAGGTTTCTGTATCTTTACTGAATCTGTAGACCATGCAGGAGATGGGACGGTACTTTCTTGATCCCCTTTCCAGAAGACAAAATCTCCAAAGGATGGGGCAGCTGGTGGGCTAGGCAGTAAATCGTTATCTTGCTGTGTTTGACGAGTGGCTTTGGTCTGTTCAGCAGAACTTGCAGAAACAGAGACAGCTGCTGAATTGCTTGGCAAAGAAGCCTTCGCTGCAAGGCTTTTATTCTTTGCTGCCCTTTTCCGACTTCTCCTAGTGCCCTTTGCCTCAATAAAATCACCATTATCTAAGCCTGCTTCTATTTCAGCACCAATTTGTGGTAGGGTATGTGAAGATGTTCCTTTTTCCTCACTATATGTTTTATCTTTGCCACCTAATAATTCAGGTAAAATCTCTTTATCCAAAACATCAGGTAATTGGCTTATATTTCTCAAGTTCCAAGGATTCTGGCGATTCTCAGTATTCTCAGAGATAGATTGCACGAGACCATCACATTGGACAGTATCTACAGCATATTTCTGACCTGAGTTGATCGAACCAGCAGTCAAGGGAGCGGCAGAAACATCTGCTGGTATAATCTCAGGGACAGTATTAGCAACCAATGATTGTGTTTGAGCCCTGCGCTGTTCCTCCACTTGAATCTCCGGAAGTGGCTTCGTCTTTTTCTGTCCAGGAGCAGGCTTCCATGCCTGATTATGTGAAAGTGGCATCACAAATTCACCTTCGTTTACTTTTTTTTCCTCAACTTTAGTTTTCTTATCCAAGGCACATGATGACAACAGACTACCATGAGAATCCACTGACTCCAACAGAAATGGAGCACAATTTTCACCTCCTGTTTCAACTGTTGTTCTATAACGAGGTTCTGCTGCTTCGATGGCTCCTTTTTCTACTCCCCCAAAATCATAATTAGCTATAGACTTCTGACCAGGTGCTTTCACTGACCCCTTCCCGCCCTCTGCAGCTGCCCTTAACTGGGAGGTCTTGTGCTTCCTTGGCTTCTTCTCTGAGACTTTTTTAATCTCAGATTGTTCTGCATCTCTCACTCCTTTCAGTTCAGGTGCTTCCCCACGAACTTGCTCAGAAATGGTGCCATCAGAAATTTTCACATCATCAATCATCTCTGAAACAGATAGCTTTGAGTCCAGAATTCCTTCACCTTCGTCAGATAAGACATAATTGTTTACAGCATCAGAAGCAATAGTCAAAGGCAATTCTTGTGATAAATCAGATGTGCCCACGCCAATGGAATTCAACTGAGGAACAAAAGCTTCCTTTGCATGACCCTCCCCAGCAGATTTGACAATGGGCATTGAAGCAGTTTGATCAATATTAGAAGTTTGAGCGGGTACCACATCCAACAAAGGAGGAGCATCCATTGCATTTGAATGGGGTGCAAGCTTAATTAATTGAATTGGCAAATTCTGCTGTGAATGCTCGATACCATCAGTAATATTCGCCTCCTGAGCACCGTGCAGATTTAGATTGGAAAGACCTGATGCACAACTATCATTAGAATCAACCATCTGCATCTGCCGATTACTTTGAGCTATCACATCATGCATTTGATGAATAGTACTTTGCAAAGAAGCATTTTCATTAACAACTTCAGCACTAATAGGACTATCATTATTATGCTTATATGAGTGCAATCCAGGTAGGGGTTGAGAAAGAAAATGCTGTTGCTGCTGCATAAGCAGCTGATTCTGCTGTTGCTCCTCTTGTTGCCTCTGCATGAGTAACAATAGTTCCATTTGATTAACATGGGAGGGAAGAGGAACCTGAGAATGCAACTGCTGGGACAGCATATACTGCTGTCGTAATAAATTAACCATCTGTGCATCTTGACTAAATTCAGAAGTAAACAACTTTTCTGGTGGTATTACTCCAGAAGAATGGCTTCCAACTGGTGTTTGACTTGCTAAAGGAGGCTGAAATTGAGGTTGCAACCTCTTTGGTAAAGTTCCAAATCCAGTTTGGGAGTTCTGCTGGTTAGAATGTAACTCCAACGCGTCTTTCATCATATCCAAGCTTCCATGAGTGCTTTTCAGAGATTGAACCTCAGGAAAGTTTGGCCATAAAGGTAAAGCAGAATTAATCGGAGGTGGAGGAGTTCTGTCAGCTGCAGATTGTAAAATAGACAATAGGTCCATGTGTTGGAGAGACTGAGGGATATGGTGAGGAACTTCTCCAATTTTAGGTGGAATTTTTGGAGGGATTTGAAACTCTCCAATAGCATCGGGCTTTGGTAAGATAGCTGGGGATTCTCCAACCAATCGATATGGAGATAATAAGGGACTCTGTTGCTCCAATGGCATTTTCTGGAGCAAGTACTTCATATCGTTTGCATTTTCTATTCCTAACGAGGGCCTACCACCAGAAAGCCCATTATATCCTTGCATACCTGCACAAAATACAGAATAGAGCGGGCAAAATTAACAAAACCAGAAAAATCACAAATAGAAAAAGCTAAAATAGAAATTACAGATAATCATAAGGAATCAAACCTTCAGATAACGAGTAATTATCTGAAAGTGGATTGCTGATTCTACCAGACATCAGAGATTCCAGAAATTGATTTTCTGCTTTAACTTTCAAATCGGTCCTGAGTACTTGGCCATTTCTCATTAGCCCCAAATCAGATATACCTGCATGAATGCCACCAGTACCACCAAAATTTCCCCTATTTGGCACTTCCACAATGTCATTCTGCCTTGCAGAGCCAAATCCAGGTGGAGGCCTTACTCTTGTTCGCAACTGTGGTATAACATCACCAAGCAATGAGAATGGAGTATCTGCTGGTGCACTGGCAAGGCGTACTAGTAAGTCAATACCAAAATATCCAGCGTCAAACCATTCAATTAGATTAGTGCCAGAAAAAGGCCCTTGAATTTGACCCTGTGGATCTTTATAAAATAAACTAAGGTGCTCAGGTGACAGATATTGTTGGGGTTTTATCTCACTTAACTTATCCCTAAAATTGAAGGGATCATTCTGACCATGAACACGCACCAAACCTTCCCCTTCTTGCTCGCTTGTCTCAGATGGTTGCCTTCTAATCCGAGACTCGGTCCTCACATCTGACTGAAGATTTACAGTATCCTGCCACTGTGGATCACCTCTAAGATAAGAAGAGGAATCAGCAGGTCTATTCCTCTGCTCAATCACCATATCTTTCCGTGTATTCAACCAGCCCATACCAGGTGATCCTGATCTATCTTTAGTCAAAGCTAGCAGATCATTAGATGACCAAAGAGACCCCACTCGAACTGATTGAGATCCGCACGGAATTGTGTTTTCCACCTTGCTTGCTTCTCCCTTGCTTAAATCATATACCTTGTTATCTGGGACTTCGAATTTAGAAGCTGCAACAGAATATCCTTAAAACAAGTTATTCAGGATAGAGATAATAGCATCAATATCTACTAGAGACAAATATGTGAATAAGAATTGAAAGAGACTTCTGTGAGTGTATACTGTAATCAGTAAAACCATACAAATTAATATCCAGGAAAGATCTGATTTCAATCTAAGCTCATTCATCTCAAATGGCCAATGGAATATTGATCAACTCCAAGTTGTCTTTGGTGTACAGCTGCTGAATCTTATTTCCAAAATTCCTATTGTAGATGGTAGGAATTCGGATCTTATGGAGTTAAAATGTAAATTTTCAGGGAAATCTATTGCTGCCATGTCTTTTGAAGCTGCAATGGTACATGGCAAAGAGAATGCTCATTGGAATTGGATGAAAAGACTTAAGTTAAAGCCGAAATTTGAACTATTTTGGTGGAGACTTTGTAATAATGCTATTCCATCTAATACTTTCTTAGTAAGGAGGAAGCTGAGCAACTTTCCAGGTTGTCCGAGAGGCTGTGAAGAGGAAGAGGATAACAGCCATATAGCAGGAAGATGTTCTAAATTTCGGAAGGTGGTTTAGTTGGGGATTTCAAGTTCCGGTGTTTGACAATTTTCATGAATGCTTAGAAGGACTTCAGAGGTATGTGGGTAAGAATGCTCTCATTGCAAACATCTACTGTACAGCTGCCTGTCTTGTTTGGAAGAATAGATGCACATTGGTACATGGTGACAATGAAGAATCTGATAATACCATTGCTGCTAATGCTATTTCTTTTGCTATAAGGAGTAATTTTATAAATTTCCAACCGGATAAATGGGAGGCCAACCAGCGCATGCTGTTTTCTTCTTGGCATCCTCCTCCTCCCGGGTGGATAAAGATAAATGTGGATGCCGCTCTTAAGAAGAATAATATTGCTGGAATTGGGGGAGTTGCTAGAGATGATAAAGGAAGATTCTTGATAGCTTTTGGAGTTCGGTTCTTGCATTGGGACGTTGCACAGATGTAATTACTTGCTGTTTTGTATTTAAAGAATGTGGTCCAGGATTGGATGTTTGAAGCTCAAGGAGTTATCATTGAAGGAGACAACTACAATATCATTAAAATGCTTCAAAATTCGGTGAAAAGCTGGAAGGTTAGTAGAAAAATTGAAGATAATTTGGCTTTTTTGCTAGATTTCAAACAAGTTGTGTTCTCTTTTTCTAGTAGAAGTGATAACAAATTAGCGGATATTTGTGCTAATTTGGCTTTAGAAAGTTTTTGTGGGAAGAACTTATTGTTGGTTTGATTCCTCCTCCTTTCTTGTCTTGCTTGAAGGAGGAATGTGATTCTTTAGGTGTTACTTGAGTAGTTTGTAATTGTTTTTTTTCCCGTCGGATTTTAATGCATTATTAGCATTTCTTTCAAAAAAAAAAAAAACCATACAAATTTACATAGAAGATATAAAAAACCAAAGGAAATAGGCGTATTAATCTTGTTGATCAGTAACAGTGGCATTTGCCAAGATTACCTCGAGCATAAAATATTTTGGTAGAGGCTGGCATTAAAAAAAAAAACAATGCAAAAATAAGCACGTTAAAGGTTAATTGCAGTTAGGTTTCAAGCATCAAAGCTAATGCTTTGTCCTCTCTAATGTTTAGAACAAACACTTCAGCTTCACTTGTATTTTGGAAAAAATCCTGAAGTAACTTCATTATAATTTGTACTATCCACTTAAGTCAAAATCATCAAATTTAGCTATCCTCTTAAAGTTAAATCTCACCATAAATTCATCAACCCATCTGAAGGGCATTAAATGTGCGCAAGTGTGTGTTTGTGGATAAATGTGCAAGGAGTGGATTGGAGAGGACTGTTTAAAAATTGGTATGCATAAATAAGAGCAAATTTAATGAAATTAGAAAATTGCATGTCATATTTAAGTACTCTTAACTGGTAAATTAATAAAAGGCCCACATGAATGGGCAACAAGAGTGTTTACAATATTCTAAATGTTATACACAGAATTTAGTTACATAAATATGAGGAAGTACCTTCAGTATTTAAGACCTCTTGAGATTGACAAAGGCTTTCACCCAAGGGCACCTCTGAATCAAAACCCAGAGAGCATTTGTCATATGAAGCACCCTCAACATAAAAAGACTGATATTTGTTCCTATAGCCAGTTCTCTCATCTTTTTTATCACTCACATCACGCGCTACATCTTCTCCAATCCCTGCTTCAGAAAAGGGTTTAAGAACCCAACTACCATATGAAGAAGAAATAACAATAATTAAAATGGACCTGATTTAGTCGGTATTAGTAATCCTGAATCTACAGAATTCTTCCCACTGGAGCCATCTTTTGAAGCCAGAGGAACACCACTACTCAAAATGTCCCCCTTGTCTATTGCCTCCAAAATGAACTGTACAGGAAAATTTACAAAATGCTAACTTTAATTCCATTTTAGATTAATCACAGAAATGACCACATATAACCAGAGTTCCCTTCTAATAATAACTAAGCAATCAATTACCAATTCTTCAGCAGAGGGAGCAATTAGTGACAGCGGCATTAGAGGGTCTGCCAGCATCAAAGAGGGAAATTCTTGAAACCACTCAAATGACATCCTATAGCCTTTAAGATCAGTCGTCCGGCAAATGTCAAGCAACTTCATCCGGCTATATCTTAGAATATGAGCATCTCTATGATTATCATTGGACCTATCTGAGGCAGTACCTGAAGGAAAGTGACGTCCAGATACACCACTCACATAATTAGCATTCAACCCAACCCTGCCACGATCAACAGAAAAAGCAGAAGCACCAGTGTCCCCCTTCCCTCTACCATAGCCAAACATTGGGGCTGGTTTATTAGTAGTTGATGTAAGATAGGGACTATTTTCACCCTTAACACGATTTACAGCAAGGGAAGATCTCCATAAACGGTAGTGCTCTCCCTCCTTATCAGTATCTTTGCCTTGGCTGTTTATGTCCTTCGCATGGATGGTTGGATGATGAGTACCTTTATCATTAGATGTCTCACCATCCTTCCCAGACCACTTCTCGCGCCAATTTTCTGAGTCCTTGTCATCAGGACCCCAGCATGTATTCCATTTACTCTCTCGTCGTGGCTCATAAGCACTTTCCCTACTCCCAGAATCAGTCCGCCTCTCGGATGGAAAACGACGTGCTTCCCCAGAGTATCTAGAAGCAGTGTTTGGCCACCGTTCTAATTTGCGGGAATCACCAAGCTCTTCTCCCTCCCTCCGAAGATCTCGACGATTAACATAATTTGCTTCCCTTTCTTCATCACCCCAGTGGTCACGACGTCCTTTTTCTGTGTCATAAAAGGATGGCCTGTAAACATCCTTTCTCTTTTCTGTAACACTAAGGTCTTCAACATTTCCCGGACTTTTCGCAGGATCACTGTGCTTGCTTACTTGAGGATGAGGCTCCTGCAACAGAAATTTCTGAATCATCACTTAGTGTGTCATCATCATTAGCCAAAAATACAAAACCTAACCATGCAAGAGAACAGGAAAAAAAAAAGTATGACACGTGCATGTAATGATGCATCTCCAAAAAATGACTGAAACTGTACTGCTAAATTAAATTACCCTAGCTGCTGGCCCAAGCTTATTATCTCCCAGCTTCGGCAGAAGCCATTGAGGAGAAAGCGGAACAGAACTATCAGAACCTTGCATATCTGCAAAATCAAATAAAAGCCTTGATCAGACATACATAGCCGTGAGGGAAAGAGTACACACTCAAGGGCCGCAACAGCGAGATAAATTTCTTACAAGAAAAAAGCACATCTTTTAGTTTTCACTAGCATCAATGTTGAATATCACCTGATCTTGCTATGTTATCATGGAAAAGTGAACGCATTTGCAACAAACAAGGAAAGATCAATTAATCAAATAGAATATTTTTGTTATGGCTTTTATATAAAATGGGAAAAGCTAAAAATAAAATATGAAAAATCAGTTAATGTCAAGAAGGATGAAAAACACCATTCGGAAGCTAAGAGGACGAATTGGTGTGAATTGCTCAAACACGAAAGTGGAAGTGGTGGAAAATAAAAATATTATGATCAACATGCAATAAAATTCAAATAATTTACACCAAAGTTAGTTGCCATCAATAGCTAATAGGATTCACAAGGTGAAAATCAAATTGTCAAGATAAGACTAGATAATGGAATGGTGACTGATCACCCAAGAAAAAGTACCGCAATAGTTAATTGACATTGGGCTAATCAACGCCAATTGTGGGGTAAACAATGATGTAATTCATAAAAACACAGATGGAATTTTTCGCTCAATTATACAAAAAAGAAGGAACCCAATTACAAATGCAAAGGAGAAGTTTAACCACTTATATGTCTTTATAAATTGATAACCATCTGGTTTCTACCATAACTCTGACAACAAATCCTTCTTTTTTCTATCATAACTATGACAACTAGTTAAGTTACCTCCATTGTGACCTAGAGATCACAAAATCCAATCATTGAGATAAACTTTCAGTGCTGTAAGGGTCAGATACTGTTATATCAATCCCTCACTAGATATCATTGGCTAGAAACCTCATGCACCTAGTATAAAATTGGGCCATTATTGTAGTTGAACCCAAATATAGAGCATATGGCAAGTGACAATGCTGCAACTAAGGCAAACTGATAGAATTAAATGTGAGAGTCACTAAAAAAGTGAAAGCTAAAGCTGATTTGGTTAAAGGTTGATCAACGACATTCAACACAATGGGAATCAACACCACCCTTAGATCAGTGGAAAAAAATAAATCACAAAGCTTAGTGAAGAACAAATTGTCAAGGAAAAGGCTAGTGATTATGATTATCGTCATGAAAAGGTCCTGAAAAAAATAAAGTATTTTTTTTGCTAAAATATCTTCTTCTTTTTTTAAAAAGAGAAGAAAAAAAGGTGCGGTGCTCTTAAAGGTACTTCAGCCAATAAAACAAAATGCTAAGGAAAGATTTAACAGCCTGCACGTCCTTACAACTTGACAGATGCAAAAAAAAAAGGGAGAAGAGGGAATCTAGAATTAGTGCTGCCCCTCTTTTACCATTTATCTGATTAGAGGTACTTAAGTCATTCCCCTAAGCAGACGTACAATTGCTATTAGATTTATGAGCTATACAAATGCACCATCATAGCTTGAAATAATAATAATAATGATAATAATAATACTTACAAAAATACTAGTATTTTGATGATATTCTCAATAAAAAACAGCCTAAGCTGCAATACTAACCATTGAAATTTTCTAGAACATCATTAATATTTTTAAAGTTGCATTCATGCATAGGTGTGAGAATTCAAATATTGATGTACAGTGGCAACCCAGCTCAGTGTTTCCTTTGCAGATTGCAACACAGCAATAAAATCAGTAAGGATCCTTAAATGTTATTTGCAAGCTCACTATACATGGCCATTTAAAAAAAACAAATAAACAGAAGGGATAAACTCTTGGTCAGTACGAACCAATCAATATCATACTCACCATGGGGTTGAGCTTAGCATAACCATAGGATCCAAACATGGCCACACAACACAAGCTAGTAACGACTTACTAGCTACCGATCTAGGTTTTCAAACATTTGCATTCATGTTGGTTTGAGAATTCAAATATTGATGCACTTAATTAAAAATTGCATCTCAGCTCAATGCTACCTTCCAAGGTCGCAAACACCACAACAAAAAGTGCAGGACAAGCATGCAATTGGAAAGTCATGTGACAGGAACATTAAAAAATGAAGAAAAAATAAAAATGGATAAGAGCCCATGGTTAGTGAAAACCAATAGATCATTGTAACCAAGGGGTCGGGAATAGCATTTCCATAGGAACCATCAATGGCCGTGAAATATAAGCTAGTCATAACCACTCAGCTCACAATCTGTACACTCACAAAAAATTTCAAAAATTCAACCTTAGCTCAAAGCAACCAATGAGCTCCTAGCCATGATAATTGATCATGCTATTATAAAGAGAATATTGAATCTTTTTTTTTTCCATCAAGCCAAATCACATAAAACCTCAAATAATTTGTATATCCATTATTTAATAAATAGATGTTAAAATTTTGAATAATATTTTCCCCATTTCATAATAAAGAATAATTTTCTTAGGTTATCCTTATTCACTAAGGGAAAATTACAGGCAGCCTTTAAACATTTCCATCTAATAATCGTATCATCTTAGTTTCTTTTCAGAATTTATGGCACAGTGACTTGAAAACTTGAAAACACCAGAAAGACCAAAAAGCATCTCACAGCTACAAATTTTCAATACCAGCCATGAAAAGACAAGCATGCTAAAGAAATTACAAGTTCAAAAATGTGGGCAGGTGCGTGGAACATCAAATAACATAAGAGTAGTCATTATTTGTTCGTGGATTGCTGCATCATGAAAAAAAAAACATCCAAAGAGTTTATAATCTAATCCAATTAGTAAAGATCATGAAGCATGCTATCCTATCAAGAATATTCCAAATTGAGACATTCTTTCCTTACTCACATAAAAACATGAATAAGTCCAGGGTTAGAAAATTACCCCATGCCCAAAAAAAAAAGCACGACCAATAACCAAAATGAAGATTAGATTGCGTAAACAATAAAATCAAGAGGGAAAAGCTTCCGGATCAATAAAGGCAAGCAACTCAAGCAACGTATAACATAAAGGTAAACCCTAGAAACTGAAATGATCGGCAAAAAGTCATCCGATTTCCATCATAACCTGGAATCAGGAGCTAAGCTATACATCAAAAGAACCGGAAGCACAGATTCCGTTGCATTGATGGTTTTTCAAGTTAGAAACGAGGAATTTTGAGAAGGAGGGCGAAGAAAGCAGAAACCTTTGGGGATCGGCGGCGGAGGAGTGTCAACGGAGAGGCGGTGGCGGTGATCAACATTGCTAAGGCCGGACATCGTCGGAGGAGAAGAAGTTGCAGAGCTGGTAAACGCAAGAAAACCCTAAACCAGATTAACAGTTCGACGGAAAGAGTAAAGAGGAAAATATGGCAGGATAAAGACGGAATGGGATCGGATGCTTCGGAAGAGATTTTCAATTACATTCCCCTAAATTATAAATTTTACAAATAACTCCTACATTTAAATATTTTTATTAAATATTAAATGAACTAACTAATGTTTTTTAAGTCAGCATTAAAAAATAGCGTTTTTTTATGCATAGCAATAAATTTCTATCTATTTATATATTTAGCATTTACCTTTTTTATTTAACTATATATTATATATATTTTTTAAACAACATAAAAAAATTACTATACACTCCTTAATTTATACTATTATGATTATCTCGTCATCCTCTCCACTCTGAAAAAGATCAATGTCATCGGTAGATTTGAAGGCTCTTAAAACTCACATCATTGCCGAGGAGAGAAGATATAAGTAGTATTGCACATATGTCTCTCTTTCATTAGATCCTTTGTGACATTTTCGTCTTCCTTTTATAACTTTGTCGTGGCCCTCCCTTATGTTGTCCACCCTTCTCTATTGCGCCTCTCATGTGTTCCTCAAATGCTACCGGCAACATAAATACGTTGCGAACAAAGGAAAATAATATTTGTGGTTGTGACTTTCATCATTTTAGATAGAGTACCAGGGAAGCAGGGTCACATGATTAGGGTAAGTTAGTGAAATATGATAAATAGTTAAATAATATATTGGTAAACTTTTTTGTGTCATGTATGTTAATCCCTGTAAAAACTATATAAAAGATGTATGAATATTTAAAACAAATTACTAGTTACTAATTATATTTTTCAGCTAATTACCTTAATTATATGATAATGAGAGGTGTCTTGGGGATTAGATGTGCCATTAGTTTTTATTTTTTCATGTCTCGCATATAATACTTTTGACTAAGATGATCAAAGACTTATCCTACTGAGAGAGGAACTTCTAAGGTCACCCCCACCAAGAAGGGTGACTGCTTGGAGGAAGTGGCCGAAGGTGGTCCGCCATGCTCCGGTGATTAGCTTCTATTGAGGTGTCTCTTGAACGAAGAACAAAGCTTGATCTATCCTTATAAATGACCATAATGGTGATGTTGATTTGCAGGTGAGGGAACAAAATTTGACTAAGAAATAAACTACATTTAAAGCACCTGGCTAAAAATACAATTTGAATATAGTTTTTGTATTATTATTGAACATTAAACATTAAATTAAAGTATCCTTTTATACTTGCCTAAATATTTTTTATTTTAATTAAATACTCATTCATTGTATAATTACAAGATTCTTTATCACACAATCAAGATTATTCCTTAAATTTTTATTTTTGCATGCCGAATTTATGGCCAAAATATTTTGAATATTCATGAAATTTTATAGAACGTTATTTTATTTTAAAAATGTAAAACTTTGAATTGACTAATTTTGTTCTTAAAAAATATGCCAAAATAAAATTGATTAAAAAATATCTAAAAACACAGTAATTGAATTTTATTTATAAATTTATTTCTAAAATCCTATTTATGTATTTCTTTATCAAATATCTTACTTTTTCCTTCTTTTAACAACAATAAAATCATTTTCATTCAAGAATGATATAATGAATTCCTAATATAAAATTCCTTCATAACAAACTATGAGATGAAGACAAATTTTTGGCATGATTAATTATACTATTATTTATATAAACTCTATTCCCTAAACCCCAAATCCTAAAAAATCAAATAATTTACATATATAGACAAAAAAGTCAAACCATAGCTATTTATTTTGACTTTAGTAGAATTACATTTATGTTTCTTTTGAGACAACTTTCTTACTGCTTTTTAAAACAGTTTTTAATAAAAAAAATTTTGAACTAGATTTTTTTTTACAAAAAAAATGCTTTAAAAAGTAATAAAAAGTTTTCCCAAATGAAGCACTAATTTCATTCGCTTTAAATTAAGAAATTAAGCCAATAGAAATTGTAACACATCAAATTTAACAAAGGTCATTTTTTTTTCAATGTAAGGCTCAACAAAACTTGGAAAGTGCATGGAAATAGATGCATTAAGTATCTGCTTAATCGAGTTGAGCTTGTTTAATACTTATTGAACTCTAACTCGAGCTTATTTACTGAACTCGAACTCGACTCGTTAAAAAAAATTTAGGCTTGAATTCGTTTGAAAAGCATGAGCTTAACTCAAATTTGAGACCGATTTCTTAGTTTTGAATTAAAAGTCCGATTTCTTAGTTTTTGAATTAAACTTTTTATTTTTTTAAAGAATTTTTACTTTTAATATACAGATAATTATGATAGATCTAAATGTATTATATAGACTTAATTTAAAATAAATTTTATATTAATCAAATGGCTAGACATTCTTACAAACCGACGCAGGTTGAGCTTAAGCGCACGATCGAGCTCAAATTTGTAGCTTGATAAGCTTTACTTGTAGGCTTATTATTAGCCAGTCAAGTTGGAAAAAAAAGTGTCACTTCTATGATTTTCTTAGATAGTAAATGTTTGTCATGTTGTGCTTATGACTTAAAAATAGCTCACCTACTCAAAAGGCAATTGAATCAAGTCTGTAGGCAAGGCAAGGCAAGGCTTCAAGCATTGTTAATATGGATAATCAAAATGAAAAATCTCTTTTATAAACTAATTAAGCATTTGATATCATATTAATAATGATTAGGAAGACATTAAGCCATGATTCAATCAAAATATGTCAGATAATGAGTACCTAAAAAAACTTTAAAAGAGGCACACCAACATATGATTATAAGTCTACAAGTAAGATCATAATTATTTACAACAAATTTCATCTGTTCACCAACTTTTATCATTGCTTCTCCCTATGTTGAATTGAAGAGTTCTATTTTTTCTTTCTTCCATAGGGATAGTATCAAAGGGAAAAGTTTAAATAGATAACAATTCCTTTCAGAGGCCACAGTGCGGTGTTTATACTAAGCATATTTCATCAAGTAGATTTTCAAGAGGTGGATAATATATTTCATTTTGATTTGTAGGGTATTCCACATGCTCTCTTATTTAGTCTTAAGAGTTCTATATTACGAGATGAGTATATTCCTTATTGATATGTATGTTGTTCCCTGTATAATTAGGCGATCATTTTAAATTAAGGAAATCAGAACTAAGGTTATACTCTTTAGCTAGTGCTATATATGATATTTTGAGCACTAATATCAGTGCAAATTTAATGATTTTAAAGCTTGTCTTAATACATTTTGCATCAAAATTTCTTGACACATTTTTTTTTTCAATTAGTCAATCTATGTCCATACTATAACATAATTGTTTGATCACCACATTATAGACGTATTTAGGGTATACACACTCCTTAGCATTTCATCAAACATTAAAAGTATGTTATGAATATGCAATTCATCTTGCAAAGAACTTTTATATAAAGTTACAAATAAAATAAATTAAACTGAGCAATAATATTTAATTATGTTTATAAGCATAAATGAATTAAGTGAGTCATTATTTATTCATATTAAAATAAACATAGTTCAAATTTATTCATTTATGAAAATAAATGATAAAGTAAATGAGTCCTACGAGAATCAAAGCATTGTAGGTTGGTACAAAAGGCAGATAGTCTTCTAAGGTTGAACCAGCATTAGCTGGGCCGGGCTTGAATTAGACCTCTAAGGTCTGGGCTAAGGCCTAATTGAAAAATATTTTGTATAGTATTTCAATTATATCACTTAGTATTTCAAAAATATCAAAATAAATCAATACAAAAATTAATTTGCTTGAAAATAAATAAATTTTTAAAAATTATGTTTGTAATCACTGTCATGTTTTTTTTTTTGTTTGATATGTCATTATTAGACAAAGCAAGCAAATAGGCCTGTCGCTATAAATTTTTATTAGCTTTTATAGCTTGAATAATGATCAGCTATCTAATATATATTTTTTGAGATTTATAGTTTTTTTTTTTTACTTTTTTTATTAGATTAATTTATTTTTAAGTAGAAAAAAAATCTTTAATTTTAATATTGCCTATATATTAATTCATACTACAATATTCAATTTAATGCAGATTTTTAATACATGTTCATCCCATTTTTTATTTGATTGAGATTAATCAAATCATTATGAGAGATTAAGAGTCGTTTGGGACAACTTTCTTAATGACTTATAATACAATTTTTTAGTACATAAATTTTTTTAACTAAAAATATTTGTACTAAAAACTATTTTAGAAAACCATCTGAAAAGAAGCTTAAATCAAATTCATGAATTTAAGAAGCAGTCAAAAGTAGTCCAAAATCTTTGAGTTGATATTAATTAAATTTCTATAAATCACCTAAGAGAAAACTCTAATTCATATCTCACTTTTTTAAGCTACTAAACTCGCTTAAGATATTTATGAATTCTCAAATTCATCAAAATTAATCACATAATGAACTCCACAACTTGCCAAATATACTCGGGAGCGATAGTTATTATTTAAAAAACTCGCTAAAAGTACTCACCTCGATTAGAAACTTATTTCATTTGAAACAGCTTTTTACTGCTTTTTAAAATAATTTTTTAATACTAAAATTTAATGAAACTAACAAAAAAATAATAACAAAAACTATTCCAAAGAAAGCTTCATTTGAATTTATCTTCTATAAACTGACTATAGCTCAACTCTATCATTAATATTGCCACATATGCTTCATTATTCATAGCAAAAGTTATCACATAACCACCACTTATAGAATAATAACAAATTAGGTTGGTTGTAAGTCTCAAACTAATATACTATTATAAAAAGGAAAATATTGAGCCATAATGATTTTTTATTAATTGGAAGCTCAATTTAAAGAGTTAATTGATTATTGATAATTAAAATAATTTTGAAATAAATTTAATAACTAAAATTTTTATTTTGTCCCTCATTGCCAAGCTTTGAACATTTCTAAATAGAGCAAAGTACAGCACAGGATACTTTATGCAAGCTTCTGAGCTATATCAACCCTTCAGATTCCCCCTTCCTCTCTATAATTCTTTTCTTCTCCCCAACAACTGAAGACCAAAAACTGTACAAATCTCCTCTTCTTCCACACCCTATTCCTTCTTTTCATTTAGCTCTCTCAGGATGTCAAAGACGCCTCTTTTTCTGCTCTTCTTCACTCTCCTCCATGGCTTCTCTCCTTCAAGTTAGGAAAAACAAGTTTTTTATTAATTCATAATCGGTTTATAAATTATATATTATTTGTATTTTATTTGATTGCTTGAGTACGTTCTCTCCAGGCTCGGAGCCATACCTTGGCGTCAACTACGGCGAGCTCGCGGACAACCTCCCGCCGCCGGCGTCCACCGCCCACCTTCTCCAATCCACCGTTTTCTCCAATCTTCGCCTATACAACGCCGACCCCGCCGTCATCTCTGCCTTCTCCGGCACCGGTATCTCCCTACTCCTCGGCGTCTCTAACTCCGATATTCCCTCCCTTGCCGGCGACCCTTCCGCCGCCGCCGCCTGGGTATCCACCAATCTCCTCCCCTTTCTCCCCTCCACCTCCATCTCTGCCGTATCTGTCGGGAATGAAGTCCTAAACTCCGGCGATTCTTCTCTTTCCTCTCTCCTCCTCCCAGCCATGCAAAACCTCCACGCAGCCATCGCCGCTGCACCCTCCGCCGCCTCCGTAAAGGTCTCTACTGTACATTCCATGGCCGTTCTTTCGCAATCAGACCCGCCGTCCGCCGGCGCTTTCCACTCCGACCTCGCCGCAACACTTCAACCCATCCTCCAGTTTCTCAGGGATAACAATTCCCCATTCATGATAAATCCTTACCCGTACTTCGCCTACCGTAGCGACCCACGGCCCGAGACCCTCACGTTTTGTCTTTTCCAGCCCGGCCCGGCCCGATATGATCCGGGCTCTGGGATTCCTTACACCAACATGTTCGACGCTCAAGTAAGCCATGAACTGGAAAATCTATTTTATATTTGATTTGGGACGGGTGTAATTTTTTATATAGAAATTTGTAGTGAAGAAAAATCACTTTTTAAAAAATTGTTTATAAAAAACCTCTTTTTAATACAAAATTTTATTAAAAATATTAAAAAAAAAGTGGCCAAATAAAAATTCAAATTGTGATGTAGAAAGCAAAATGATAAGAAAGTAGACTTTAAAATGGACAAATACAAAAACAATTTTTTAATAAGAAAAAATTACTTTAAGAAGCAAAAAAAAAGTCGTCCCAATTGATGCCTAAAATAGATTTTTATTTCAAGATTTTTTTGTTATAAATTTTTTTTTTACAAAGTATTAAAAAACCTGCCCCAAATCAAGTCTTAGACTTCATTTGAGATGACTTTTTTAGTTCTTATTGCTTCTTTAAATAGGATTTAGCTCAAAATTTAAAAATTAAAAATTAAATAGTTCCTTTAAAAAATAATAAAAAAATCATCTCAAATCAAACCTTAATAGAAATAAATACAAGTTATTTAAATATAAATAAATTGGCTCGTACATACTAACATTACTTATTTATAATTTTAACTTTAAAAATATTATTCAATTTTATTTAATCATTTAGTTTGCTTTCAGGTTGACGCAATTCGGGCCGCGCTAAGGGCCGCCGGGTTCGCCGGCCAAGAGGTGGTGGTGGCGGAGACAGGGTGGCCTTATAAAGGTGACGACAACGAGGTCGGGGCGAGCGTGGAGAACGCCAGGGCATATAATGGGAATCTGGTGGCCCATTTAAGGGCTATGACGGAGCCTGTGGCGACATATATTTTTGCCATGTATGATGAGGACCTGAAGCCCGGCCCGACTTCGGAGCGGTCTTTCGGGCTTTTTCGGCCCGACCTGACACCCACTTATGATGCCGGGCTGATAAATTCCGGCTCGGGTTTGGGCGGGTCATCGAGCCCGGTGGCGCCGGGAGAAACGTCAAAGCCAGAGGAGGTGTGCGTGACCAGCACCGGCGGCACATGTAGCCGGCCGGCGGTGGAGTACCTACCGAGCGCCGCCGTGGGAAGATTTGTTAATATTTTTGGTATATCTCTGCTGTTTGGATTCGCTTCTGTTTTTGGCGTCGAGCTGATGGTGATGATGCATAGAGATTGAAGAACTGTACTTATTGGGATTGTTATTTTGTCCATTATGTAAAGTTATATTTAGAGTGATATTAATCAAATTTAAAAAAAGCATATTGGTCAAGAAAAAAAAATCTAGAATATAATGGCTTAAATTTGATTGAAGTAAGTATTGTTAAATTTTATTTGGCTAATAATATATTATTTTCATCTTAAAACTAATTTAATAATCTTTATAACAAACAAATAAAAAATAATAACAACATGAAGCCCTTATCCGACAATGGGATCAGCTATACGAATTTTTTTTTTTTTTTTATATGTTGTTAAGAGTCAAATTCTTATTTAAGTATTTGTAATATGGATCAAATGTCATTTCTAATATTTTATAATATGAGTCTTTTTAGGTCTAGCTATCTCAAATTTTCTTAATATATGTCAAATCTAATACATCTACTCTTCTAGCCGAGTCATCATAAGGGCCTTTTATGTGACCAAATCATCTAAGACGACTTTCTCTTATCTTATATGCCACTGAAGCTACACCAACCTTTTCACGTGAGCTTAATTAGTATTTTATCTCTAAAAGTAAAGTCACTCATCCACTTGAACATCCACATCTCTATAACACTTAATATTATGCTTCCTTTTAATTTTCAATATTATGCGTCATAAAGCCTTACGACAGTCTTCTATCACTCTAAATCTAAATGAACATATATTGATTAGAAAACTTTGTTAATAGAACATTCATATATTTTATTTTAAAATACTATTTTAAGTATATTGAACTTTTTAGAGGGAAATTTGGCAGCATTCTAACATTTATATATTGTAGAAATATGGAATCGCAACTGCGCGCCCGTCACCCTCGACTGTTACTGACTGTCATTTTTAAACTTTGTACTACATTTATTTTACTTTAAAACAAATAAGAAAAATTTATTCATATGAGTTTACTTTGCGTTCATCCAATCAACTCTAAAGTATTCATTTTATAATGTATTTTTTTAACCAATCATATAATCTCTTAAAGTAAAATGAATGTAATGTAAAGCTCCTAATTGTAGAGGCTAGTGGTTGGTGGAAGGTAGTGCACGGTGGCAATAGTGGACAGTGGCTAATTACTGGTGGCAATGAGCGACCGCATCGATGTTAGAAATCGATATGACACTTTCAACAAACGGAATAGCTCATTTGGAAAATGCCATTATTATTTTTAATTTAAAAGAAAATCGATTTCTGCTTTATTGAATTGATCGGATTTGCTGTATCGTACGATTTTATTTATTTCATTGATTGGCATTGATACTACTGAGCATTGATATGGACATTGATAGATATAGATACTGTATTGATAGCATGAACATGGACATCGTACTACTGCCTACTGTTTCTGTATCGTATTGACTGTCGTATAGATTCATTGTTCCGTATTGCTTTTCTCGACTGATTTCATTGATTTGACCGTATTGATTTGATTGACGGATATTGATTGATTGAATTGAAATGATTGATTTGCCTGCCGCTGCATTGACTGGTTTTATTGACTATTGATTTTCGGATTGCATCGACTACTGATTTGATTTCCACTGCATAGACTCATTGACCATTGACTGATTCAGATTGATAGATTGACATGCATATTGATAGCATCGCCGTGCTTTGATTTCAGTTGTAGGCTTTGGTGACCTGCTGGGCTATTGTAGCTCATTATATGTGGTTTAAAATTTCAGGTCCGAGCAAGGCAACTGGAATGGAGTTCGATCAGAATGTCAGACAAATCCTTTCACTATTGATATCTGGGGCATCACATTGCACGTAACCAGAACTTTCCGGCCCAACCCAAATTTTCTCAGGAAATGATTTAGACACATAAATCTCTACCAACACTCTAGCAACAGAAGGTCGGGAACCAGATGATGTAGCGTTGTCAATTTTTAAAGGTTTGCCGAAAACAGTTCCAAGGCCATGCAAGATTCGAGGAGCATACAGGTGAGGCCTAAGGTTAGGAAATTAAATCCAGATGGGAATCACAGGAGATTCGATTTCCACATCTAAGGTAGGAGACCACTTTATGAGTTTCATGAAACAGTTGTTAACGAAGTAAGAACGATGCGCGAAGATTCTGCAATAATCCAAATCGTTGAAGATCTTAATCAAAATATTACGTTGATTCAGAACAGTAACCGAAACCTCCCCATTTAACTTAAGATTAAATTTTTTTTTCTAATGGCTTCCAAAGAGGGCCAATGGGCAGGGAACTTCTCTACCAGAGCAAACTCAAAAGGGGCAGCCAAAGACATAATTTCCAACTCCGAAATCCACAAAGAAGGCATGCCTCTAAAAGAAGAGACTTTAAGTTCGGGAAAATCAACAGGGGCGGAGGCTGAACCAGAGAGAACATCTTTAAACAAGAGGGGCGAAACACCGGGTAAGAAACCAGGATCGCGAAGACGAGAAGAAGCCATAAAATCAAAATCACGTAAACAACTGGAAGAGAAAACTCCCCTCGCCGCCGACGAACGCACGAAGGAACGCACGAAGAAACCAGGATCGATTGAATCTGTCTTGATTACGCTAATACACCCCTCTAATTTATTGAATGATTGCTCATGTCTCTCTCGAAATTAAGCTTTCCTTAAAATATCTTTTCAGTATAAAAATTTTCAACTCAAAAAATTTTTATACCAAAAGGCTGGTTTAAAAAACTTTAAGAAAGCTGCTCCAAACAAAACCTATGTTATCATTCAAGTCCTAAGTTTTATTTGAGACAATTTTTTTACTTACTTCTTAAAGTGATTTTTTAGTACTAAAAAATTAATTTTTATACTAAAAAACTATTTAAAAAAATAGTAAGAAAACCGTCCCAAATAAAATTTTATTTTCAACATTTTTGAAAAGATTTGATTACTTTCTTTTGCAATCACCCTATGAAACCTGTATATACCAACACAGAATACACAATAAATTTTATAAATGATAATCATCAATTATAACTACTATTTATTATACCATCAAAATAAAATTTGGATTAAGATATCACAACTAAAATGTAAAATTATGAGCATACAAAAAAAGAAAAAAAAATTATAAACATGAATACTTTAAAAAACACACTTAATAAATAATTAACACTCTAATGCTTCATTTGGAACGACTTTCTTATTGCTTCTTAAAACAAATTTATAGTAAAAATATTAAAAAATTTGTACTAGAAAACTGCTTTAAAAAATAGTAAGAAGGTCGTCCCAAATAATGACTTTGAGACAACTTTCTTATTGATTATGAAGCAGTTTTTTAGTACAAAATTTTTTTGAATATAAAATGTTTGTACTAGAAAGCTGTTTCATAGAGCAATAAGGCAGATATCCCAAGGCTTTGTTTAGAACAATTTTTTTATTGTTTTGTAAAATTGTTATAGAGAAAGTAATTTTTTTTAGAGAAGTTGTAGGAAGCAACTTTCAAATACAATTTTTTTTTAAAAAAATATGCACAAATAAAAAATATAATTACAACCTGAAAAATAAAACTATAAGAGAGTTGTCATAGCAGAAGCCTAAGGTTTTTGTTTGGGATGGCATTCTTCCTTCTTCTTAAAGTAGCTTTCTAGTTTAAAAGTTAAAATTTTAGAACTAGAAAGCTGCTTTAAGAAGCAGGAAGAAAGCTGTCCCAAACGAAGCCTAAGTCTCAATCATACTTTAATGATTTCTCTCCCAAATAAATGAATTGATAAAGAAACGGAGATAGCTGTAAGAGAAAATTGATTGCAGCTAAGAAATAATTCAGCAGCTGAAAGTTGAAAGCCAACAATTAGAAACCACAGGATGAAGAAAGGCAGCAAAATTGATCTCCTCTCTCAAATACATCAGTATCAATGATCAATTATTTTGATCATTAATGGAGGCTAAAGACTTTGAAGCTTTGTTTTGATTGAAGGGAATGGCAAGATATGAGATAAAATTCCAACAATTTATGAAGGTTAGAGTTAAATAAATTAATTCAAATAATCTTGATTATCTCATAGGGCCCTTAGACTACAACTAGGGGTGTCAATTTTTGACACGACCCAAACCCGACCTAGAAAAGTCCGAGTTAGGATCAACCCGGATCCGAAACGGGCCGGGTTCGGGTTCAACAAATCAAACCGTTTTAAAAATCGGGTCGGGTTCGGGATGACACAGCAACCAGAAAATGACCCGAAATAGACACGAAAAACTCATATTTGACTCAGAAACCCGAGATTGACCCATAAATCGAAGATTGACCTGATTTTGACACAAAAAGTAGCAATTTTAGGTGAATTTCGGGTCATTTGTGTCGGGTCGGGTTGACCTGGACCCGAATCGGGTCGGGTTCGTGTCCAAAAACCTGACCCGTTTTTAAAAACAAGTCGGGTTCGGGTTGACCCGAACAGTGTTGGGTCAATTCCGGGTTCGACCCGAATCCAACTCGTTGACCCGAATTGACACCCCTAACTACAACTTATTTTGGGATGACTTTCTTAGTGATTCTTAAAATAGCTTTCTAGTACAAAAATTAAAGAAAACTGTTTTAATAAGCAGTAAGAAAAAAAAAAAGCAGTAAGAAAGTCGTCCAAAAGGAAGCATTCGTTTGAGACAATTTTTTTATTAGTTTCTAAACAGTTTTCTATTACAAAAATTTATTGTTAAAAAATATTTTGTATTAAAAAATTATTTTAAAAAATAGTAAGAAAGTTATCCTAAATCAAATCTTAGTCATATGAAATTATATTACCACCTTCATGATTAATTCAAAACTTGCCTAGTCTTAAAACTAAATAAATAAATAAATAATTATCTCTCTTTGCATTATCTACTTACGATAGAGATCATTATTTATCTACTATAAGTAGATAATGCGGGGAGAGAGAGATAAAAATAATAACAAATGAATATAAAATGTTCTCAATAATAAAAAATATATAATAATAAATAATATATTTTTTAGCTAAGAGGTTTAGCACTGAATAAGTTGAAAAATAATTGACAATTAATCATTTAAGGCCAATTAAAATTAGAATGATTATA